CTCCAAGTGCAGTTTGGGGGGGGCATACTTGGAGGATCGTAGGAAATCGTAAGTCGAGTTATAAGTACCTTACTTGGGGCTATTTGTGAGTATATGTGCAGTAAAGCTACCCTCAGCATAACCTTAGTTACGAAGTCCCATGATCCTTTAACCTACTTGTCGGGTATCATGGGGAACTAAAACTTAACCTGTTTGGTTATTTAGGGATTATATAGGGACTCTCCTACCCAAAAAAGGTTACAGGTTGCCTACTCTACTACTAGGTTAAGGGGCCAGGGCTCATGCTCCCTGTAGGGGTGAACGACAAAGACCGAAGCTCAGGGTTCGGGGAAGCTTATTGGGGTCACGCCCGTTTAAACCCGAAGCAGGGGTATCAAAGCACTTCGAGCACCAAAGACCGTAAACCCCTGAGAGGACTCAGTCTGCAAGTAAAAGTTCCATAAGTTCGATGAGGGTTTAGGCTAGAAGGGGCCCCCACCCTGTAATAGTGCCAAAATAGGAATATAATAGGGCCCTATTATAATCCTACTATACCACTATTACAGGGTCGGGGCCCCGTCTAAGGTTTAGGGGTTACGTAGGAATCGGGAGAACTGGCAAGTTGATTCTCAATGGAGGTAGAAGTATATTCTTTGGTTTTTGCCTTTGCTGCTTATGACCTCTTTCATAGCCTACCTACTATGTCCCCTCGTCATTGTTCTTGGAGTTGTACTATTATCAATTCAAAAGCGAACTATTGAAAAATAAGTAAAATGCCTAACCCTAGGGATCTAAGGACTCATATATTAAGGGTTTTGGGCCCAGAGACCATACTATACAAGGCTTTTGGGCTATTTTGATCCCTAGGGCAAGCTCTAGAGAACTGAAGGATAAGCCGGTCAAGGATCTGTCAACTCTTCGAGCTCGCCTTTGCCTGGGCAGTTGGCATCTTCGTTGTCAAAAGGCGTTGGTGGGGGTTTGGTGTCTGAGTTTTTGTTTGTTAATGCTCCTGCAGGGAGGTTTAGAGTTGATGGTCTAAGGCTTACGCTCTCGCAGCTCATGGTGTTTAGGGTTTAGACGTTAAAGTCTAGGGCTCAAAAAACATTTTTTTTACGAGCTCTTTCCTCCCTCTTACGTCAGAATGCCAAGTTTGGTGGAAGGGTTTAGAGCTTCTGAGTTTGAATGTTAGGAGGTGAGGGTTTTAAAGAGTCTTCAGCAGGTCTAGGGTTTAGGATAAAGGATGTATGTAGACGATTCAAGGCCTTGGCTCTGGGCTGACTGCATAGCTTTCACTCAGAAAGCCAAACGACCCTTGATGTGGCAACACACCGTCAAGAACAGTGGTATCATCAACAATCAAGATGACTGAAGGTAAGTTCCTGAAGTACTGCGTGGATTTAGTGAACTTCGTCTCTTTCTAGCTCTCTCTGCCGGGCCATTCTTACCTGATCCCGAAATGGACAATCCCCAAACTGCAGAGCTTGACATCAAACTGGAAATTGGGGGACTTCTGTATTACAAACACATCGCGGAAGCTTGGTGAATGACATTACTGGTTGTTCCGTCTCCTAAATTACTGCGATTGTTGCTGCAATCAGCACGACGGTCATCTATGACGTTGAGAGGTCGTCTCTTCCTTTGTCTGCTCAGGACCGACACAACTTGTATCAACACTTTTCATTCCTCGTCGAAGTTTGGGGAACTTGCCTCAGGTTCATGCAACCGACTGCATGCTATGTATTATGTAATGTAATAATGTAACATATGTGCAGTCACCTGAGTATCATCAATCATGTTGGGCTGCTTTGGGTTGTGCTCCAAAGCAGATTTCTGTCAAGCCAGCAACGGCAGCAGCAGAACCATCAACAGGAGGCGAAGTTCCAACAGTCCCTCACACAACATGCAAGCCTGAACAGTTGGAATGGGGCACGGACTATATTATAGTTCATACAGGAGTTTCCGAAAATAGGGACCCTAATAGAGTACCTTGATTGAAAAGTAGGATCCTTAGTGTAAGGGCACCAAAATAAGGTACCCCTAATTTTCGGAAACTCCCATATGAGGAGCAATAAGGGGCTACTGCTTCTACTTACTCGGACGCTGATTCTTTGCACGTAAACGGACGGACTTGGCCAGTTGATGAAACCCAGCAGCCCACATATGTTTTACAGTAGGAAAGATTCCCCCCCCCTCAAAAAATCCATTCTGATAGTATCCCAACGACTTTACAGATATTTTGGCGGCTTGATCAGATTGTAGTCTCTTTTTGTTGGTGTTTGACGAAAGCTTTGCAAGGGTGAAGGATATCTCAGGGACTTCAAAGACCGTAAACTGAATTGTCCACAGGGGAGTTTCCGAAAATACGGGACCCCAATATAAATAGTAGGAGCCTTATCATAAGGACCCCCAAACAAGGTACCCCCGTTTTTGGAAACTCCCACAAGTGTTGTGAGGTCGCGTCGGGGTTGCGGACAACCATGATCCTTAGTACAATTGGATAAAGGTAAACTAGGCTTTTTGCCCTGGGACCTGAAACTCTCGTGACCCCAAACTAAAAAACACCGAAGGCAAAGCCATGCTGGAGCCGCAATTGCGCTAACAGGCACCCTCTGTAGGTTTTGCACTATACATTATAGATCTTATCGGGGCCTGAATAGTCAGATCAGCGTTTTTTTGGTATGATATCTTGCTCGAAAGTCATCATGAGGAGCCCTAGACTTAATACTTAATTTGGGCTTCTACAGTAGGCCCCTCTCTTAAACGGAGATCATCGAAACTCTCCCTGGCCAGGGTGCGTGAGGCTTCTGCGAAAGCCTCGCCGAGCCCCAGCGCTTTGGCCAGGAGCTGGCGCATCTTCCTGGCAGACTTGGAGGTCATCTTGTGTATAGTTACAGGCGGGGTTATGGGGTCCTTTAAGGGCTCCTTTAAGGGATCTATATGATTTACGCTCTCACAACTCGGACACAGCCAGGCGATCTATAGGATTTAGGAATTTAGGGTTTAGGGTAGTTATAAATGGGTTATGAGTCCCCTATTATGGAATATACTTATAGTGACCCTACCTACAAGCCTTCTTATAACTACCTATAACCTGCAAGGAGAGCAGGGACGCTTGGAAGCTTCGGGTGATTCAATGATGGTTGAGCTTAGGGCTTCGACGCTCACACTCGCGCGCTTAGGGTTTAGCGTTGGGGGTTTCGGGAAGATCGGTTCAACTCAGTGGTTTGGGGTTCGGGGTCCAGGGTTGGGCTGCAGGGTCGAGATACGCTTTCTTCGGTTTTGCCGGACAGGTCTTTCTGCCAGAAACCAAGCTTAGGGTTCGTAGCACTTAGGGATACTTAAACCCTCAACCCTCAACCCCAAACCTGAAACCTCAAACCCTAAACTCAGTTACTCAGGGCGCCGGTTTCGCAGGGCTTGGAAATTAAAGCCCAGGCTCGACCTCAGAGAGAAACGGTTTAGACCTCGGAGAAAGGGCCTGGAAACACGCTTTTGGGGATTTTGGGGCTCCTACATCACAAGGACGAAGCCCGCATCTTCGGGATACAGTCCGGCATGGCTTCGGCGAGCGTTTTCGAGGTGGGATTCGGATTGGGGATATGGACTTTGGCCTTCAGTGACCTGAACTTTTCGCTCTTTTCGAGGAACTTGCGTTGTGCAAGTTGCGACCGTAGGGGTGGTTACTCCTGTCTATCCTATCATGATATGCTCTGCACCCTGTTACCACTTCTTGGGTTCCACAACCCCTTGATCATGAAACATTCCCCTCTTTCGTCTTGAAAAGAGAGACCACAAAGCGAAAAGATCATGAAGCAATTTGAATGAACCATAAACCCTATCAGAAACAACAAACCGTAGAATCTTCATGATAAAGCCCTGCTTTTCTGAAACCCACAACGACGGTACTACCTGTAGTCTCCATTGTAGTTACTGGCTTTGGTTTCACCAATTTCAATAAACGGCTTGCAAAACAGGAACCACAACAGAGATTAAAGGTCCTGCTGGACAAATCTAGAGCCCCGGCTTCTTGCGTCGGATCTTTGCTGGTCTGCCCATTCATGGTGAGACAAGGCCGTACCACTGTGTCAGGTGTCCAGGTCGTTCCTTTGATAAGCACAGAAGTGGTTTAGGGGTTATGCCCCTAACCCTAAACCCTAAACCCTGAACCTCTAAACCCTAAACCCCTAACCCTTATCCCTACACCCCTAACTTATCAGGAGTTTAGATGCCCAGTTTAGCCCCCCTGTGCCGACTCTGGAACTTGAAACCTGACCGGGGGGGCGATGCGTCCGCCGTTTACCTGCCGGCAGGACAATTAACAATGGGCAGAGAGAAGCCCGTGCGGAACGTGCCTCCGATGTCTGGCAAAACGCAATTCTTCAATTAAGCGGCTGCATCCCTCGCTGCTGTACACGGTTAAAAGCTCCGGAGGGTGGAGTCTGGTGATGTGGACCCTTGAGTAATACACCCGCGGCCTTTGAAAGCCTCAATATTCGTACACCCTACTACTTTTACTTCTGATGCAGGGACTTGCTCGTTTACATCAAGGGTCTACATCATTTTCTACGCATACACGAAGACAGGGCCGAAGATTTGGGAAGTCCTGCCGTGACCCTGTGGCCAAGGCATGGTACTCTGCCCTAAAACAGCCCTGCTCCTATCTTGGCAAAGGGGAGTCTCAGAAACTTAAGGGACCTTGGAAGCAGGTCCTTGGAGTACGGACCATACAGTTTAGGGTTTAGGGCGTAGTTGCCAGGACTAAGATCTACATGAGGGTCCCGCCCATGTTCCGAAACTCCCGGTAAGATCTTCAAAACCTATGGTGGATATCCGGATATTCATTTACAAGTGCAGGACGTGACCTAAGGACACGTCAGGCATGTGCAGCCTCGGCCAAGGCGATTGTGTAGGGGCTTGAGTAACGCTATTCCGTAATGTTCCTGTGGTTACACTTGAATACGCCCAAAAATCCAACGCAACATATAACTTCCTGCTCCTATTTTACCCGGGCTGATTGAAGCCTAAGCCTCCGGTGGACAAATGAAGAGTCCAAACTCTTCTTGAGTCACTACGCCACTGAAGTCTTCGTCTATCGCACGAATGATGCGCAGCAGCTCTATTCTCTTCATCTTCGGGAAAGCCTGTTTAATGCAGTGCTCGAACTCTGGAATGCTGAGCGAGTCGTCGCCGTCCAGATTCCACAGGTGCCACACTACCTATGTTCAGCAGTAACCCCTTTAGAATCAGCGTGCCCGCTTTTCCTATTAATATTATTAGCAGATCATATCGCAAAATCGAAAGGACAAAATGCGTACTACTGGCGCCACACTACCTTCAATGGGTCGATAAGAGCATGCGCCTCCTCTTGGTAGTCCCTCAGGGAAACCCACGCAGCAAATGCGTCGAAGCTGACGGCACCATTTCCGAGGGTGGCGAGGATGAAGCTCTTCTCGATTTCTTTTTGCTGCATGTAAGGGTCTCCGCGGCGGACCATTAGCATAAACTCTGCTTTGGATAACCTGGGTTGAAGCTTAAGAGCCTGCAAAAGGTGTACTAGGCAGATACCTGGGAAATGATTTGAAAGGAAGTTGAAAGTTATCCAAACAAGCTACTGATTGTCACAGTCCTTGTCCGCCATGAAGAAGCTGGCCTGCAGCACCTTACGCCTCAAAGCATCGATAATCTCTGGCGTCAACTGAGGCGTGGCAGACTTCTCCGACTCTGACCAAAGCTTGTCCGGGAGGCTGTTCTTCAGGCCCTTTAGCTGCTTCGATCCCGTGATTTGGCCTTCCTGAAGCTTCATCACGCTCACAACCCAGGGTCTCTGCGAGCATTCACCGATAGAGCCCGAGCTCTTGAGCCAAAACTTCCAGGTTCCAACATGAGCAATGCTGACTCAAAGTGATGAACTGACTAGTTTTAAACTTGAAGTCACTGATACCGGCAGTGACTGTGAACGTCAGTTGGGACACAAGGTGCCATGCAAGGTGCACCACCGAGTCTTTCGAAGTCGTAGTCTGGCACGCTGCACGCAACAAGACGACAATAACGACAAGGGCCTAGGCTTCAGAGTAGAAGCCCCACACGTACGCAGTAGGGTTTCAGGTTAACAACGAGGGCAGTTAGGCCTGTCCCGCAGTGTGCATATATTCATATTGTAAAAACGTACATTCATGTATACATATTTGACACACACACACACACACACTTCCTCTCTCTCTCTCTCTATGTCTATGTATAACTCTCTCAGTATCTCCCTCTCTCTCTCACTCATTTTCTGTGTCTTTTCTGTACATAATATATATATATATATATGTATATGTATAAGCATATATAGATATGTATAGATCAACCTCTCCATTTTTGTATATACAGGCTATTTGAGTACACATATGTATGTGCATCTATACATGTGTAAATATGTATATGTATATTATGTATACACATACATACATGCATACATACATATACAGACAATAACCATATATACACACGTACATCTATGTATATATATATATATATATATATATATATATATATATATATATACGTATATGTACACACACATCATATACCTGTACACAGTTGATTTGCATTCAGCTTAGTTTCTAGCAGCTTATTTTCTAGCATCACGATGGTTACAGGCATCGGGCCGGACTTCGGTCGTCATGGGCTGTGGAGTTCAGGATCGACTCTTATCTATTCCATTTTTCATCGCTTCCTCCCTTGCTACAATCCTATAGATATGGCCCCGGCAAAAAAGAATCCCTGCATCTCCCAATGATGAAGCTCCGCAAAGAACCCGCATTCCCTGCACCCTCAACACCTAATCAGTTCTAAATGCAGAATCCAAAAGCCTCTACACTCTACAAAGAGAGCCCGGAGGAAAAGCAAGCAATTGGCACAGTAAAGCCCAAGAGGCCTGGCGAGCAGAACGCGGGCTTTCATGTTGGCAAGCCTCGTGCATGCTTTCTGGACTATCGCTCTCCTCTTTCCCTTTGGGTTCCATTGTAGTTCCTTTCTGTGGTTTGTACTTGGAATCCTATAAAATGATCCCAAAAAGGAACTACAATGGAGCCTATGGGTCCTCTCATAGACATGCCGCATGGAAGTTCAGCCTTGTCTACACAGGCCAAAGACTGAGAAACCCTGAAGCGCTTCAAGTTCCAATAGCGATGGTAGCAAAGTAGGTTTTGCACGCATCCCGTCAAGGCTTGATGATCCCGGTCCATGTGTTCCTCTGTACATGGTGGGGTAGGGTTTTTTTTAGAAGGTTTAGGGTGCATGTCAAGGCGTCAGCGAGGAGCAAGTAGCTTGTAACGCTTGAAGCATATTTCGCGAAGTCCTGCAGTTGGTTACAACACGAGACCGTGTTGAGCTGCAAGGATCTACACTTGCTTTTTGTTGTTTAATCGCCCATTTTCTACGCGCAGCAGCAGCAGCAGCAGCAGCAGCAGCAGCAGCAGCTTGCCGAAAGGCCGGTTCAGGAAATTATTCCCGGGTTTGGGGGTTAGAGTCGCTTATCAAAATCAGGGATCCCTGATCGCCAAGAGAATGCTGCAATTCAAGCCATCAATGGAGCAGGGAACCCTGAGCACACCCAGGGTTTAGGGCTTAGGCAAATTTTTTTTGGCTGACTTCTGAACGCCTCTAAAAGTTAAACTTTTGGCCTCCTTATTGTAGTTCATATAGTTAAAGTCCTAAGAGCCAACCAGAAGAACGCCAAGCTTTTATCAACATCAACACGACCCGGCATGCTAAAGAATCAAAGCCCGGACGATGAGCTGCAGACACCCTGAATACATTGGAGTTCCCCCAAAAGAGGACACCCCAATACAAAACCCTGAAAAAACAAAACGTTTAGAGTCAGGATGTGTAGATCATGGACCCATACCTTTAAGAAACCCCAGATAACTCCCCGCTCACACCACCCTAAACCCCAAAAAACCCAACACCGGCGCCTTTTCACATCCTCCATGGCCTGCCTCCGGTTCTGCTGTTGCGCCCGGGCCTCCTTGAGTTGATAACAAAGGGGTTTAGGGCCTTGATAATTAGAAGCCCCAGAAATAACAACACTAGATGGGTTTAGGGCTTTTTTCCACCCGCCCAGCTGAACAATGTCGCACCTGCGGGTTTACGGCTTAAGGTTTGGGGTTTAGGGTGATATCATGAAGTTTTCAGGCTCTATATTCGGGCGTTAAAGAAAACTTTGACCGTACGACGATCAGTCTTTTAACGGTTCAATATCGTGGTTTCTTCATGTCGTTCCTGTAACGGTCCAGCACAGGGATTGAGTGCTTTGGGGGTGCATGGGATTTATGGTTGCAGGGTTTGCTGGCTTTTTAGCGGGTTTACGTACAGTGTAGGGCAGGCTTGGGGTTGAATCATGGAAACCGGTTGGTATTTTACTGCCACTTAAAGACTCAAGCTTGCTAGAGGCTTTTTGTCTTGGCTGTTGAAGAAACCGATGTAGGGTGGATATCTACGATCTAGAGTCAAGGTGCACGGGAATGCGAACACCGTGAAATCCTAGACCCCAAAGCCCTAAACCTAGCAACCCCTAAAACCCCAAAGCCGGAACGGTGGGAAACGACACTCTAAACCTTGTTCGCGCCGGGACCCTTCACCCCGGATTCATGCTTCGAGCAAGCGCAGGGGATACAGCCAGAATTGTGTCTTATCTTTTGCTATGCCATGTATACTATACGGGAGAGAGAAAGTGAAAGTAAAAACCCGATTGGATGATGCCCAAAGAGCTTTTCCTTAAACCAAAACCCTGAACTGACGAGCTCAAGGAAGCTCAAATTATGGCAGACCGGCCTGCTTCTCTCGCCGCTCTTTGTCACGCTCCGCTTTGGAGGTGTGGCTATGCATGGCACCTGCGGCTTTCACGGTCGTCATTCGTTGGGGGTGACATGGTAAATACGGTTTAGGGTCTGGGGTGTAGAAAAAAGAACGGATCGCTCATTATGGGTTCGTTGGTAATCAAAGAGTACCTGCTAAAAACCTAGGGTATAGGCCCCTGTCTGGCAAGGCACACCAAGTCTCATTTCCCAACTTTCAAAAATCAGGAGGCTTGGTACAAACATGATGCGAGCAACGTTGCGCGTAGGACGGCACCGATCAAGGCACTTATATCTCTCCTAGGAACCTAAGACGGGGACTGGGCCGGAAACAAGGCTTCAATGCTGCAGGGTTGATGGGTGGAAAGTGTAGGCTAGCCCAGTTAATTATGTGTTTAGGGCTCACGGGGGCAGGGTTGACATAGAAAGGATTACTAGACCCAAGACGCTTTTTTGCAATCGGCCTGCAAGACTTCGCCTGTAGTGCATGTCCCGTAACCTTCGTGCGAGCAGCCCACCCACTAGTTCCCATTCTAGATACTTTATAAAGATCCCAAGGCCAAAACCCTCAACCTCTCAACCCCAAAGCGCCTAAATCCTGAACCTCATCCGTATCCAAGCAAATAAGGAGCCCTTGCATTGAGCTTAGGCCACGGCCCAACGGTCCTTGTGCTGACCACTGGCCTCGAGCTGGTCTACGCCGGCATTACAAGTCCCTACCAAAGGCCAAGATTTGTATCAGGGTTTTGCACGGCATGTATACGGCTACTTCGTAATGTTGTCGCGAGGTGTTTTGGTCTTGACGATGGGGATACTGGTACTAAGCATCCTACGAGAAGTATACGGAATCCCTGCCAAACCCCAAAACAATGCCAAAACTCCCTTAAACCTTGAAGCCCTAGATCCTATGACCCGAAATTCAGTATGGCTACCCTAAAGCTCCCGACATCCACAACTCCCCAACACCCTGCGCCCAAAACCCCCCTAAGCCAAAATCCCCAAGCCCTCTCCGGTTCTGTTTACCCCTCAACCAAAATCCCCATAAGGGTGGTTGTCGAAACTATGGTATCTTTTGGGTCCTAAATATAGTACGGCACCTAGTATTTAGGGTACCCAAAAAGGGACCTTAACTTTGACAACTACCCACAACGGCCTCCGCCCTCCGCGTCTCCCGGGTAGCCCGAGTCGTCAGAAGGCTTTGGAGGATCGGACCTGGGCTTCCCCCAGAGCTTTTTTTTCCCTCCTACCTAGCAAGGACGAAGCCCGCCATTGCAGGGAATCGCGGCTGAAGAGTTGAAAGCAGCTCCCCCAATGGTTTAGGGCTTTAGGGTGATGATCCTGGAGCTTCCATGATAGATCCAGGTTTAGCTATCAGGTTGTCATAATAAACGGTTCGCAAGAGCGCTTTATATTGCATGTTAGCATTTTAGGAGTTCCGGGATTCGGGATTTAGGTTGTGAAGGCTTATGTAAGGCTTCTGTAAAGGGCTTGTGGTTGAGCATTATGCACAGGTTTTGTAAGGGCTCTACAACTATAAGGTTGTATATTGGTATACGTCCACAGGGGTCTAGAACCGGTTTCACATTTGGGTTTTGGTTTTAGGATTCAGGGCTTGTTCATATAGTTGGGTCTTTGATACCACGTTCGACCGCTTCAGGCTTCAAGCATGTGATCTACAGTAATAAAACCGCCTCTCATGATCTCTCATTCGAGTATATGCTATAGTGAGAACATGCTGGAATGTTCTTGTGCGGTTCATTTCTACTAAAGGGTAAGAAGAAAAGCATATCATGCACCAATATATCCCCACCATGGTCATGTGATTCAATGCTCAACTCCTTGACAAGAACTCAGTAATCCTGCTAAGGCCAGGCTGCTTTGCTTTTCCCTTCGGCGTTGCTTTCGCCTTCGCTTTCGCTTCCGTGGCGCCTCGACTACACAGCATTTCTAAGCCGTCTGAGCCTAAGCCAAACGCTCATTGGTAGTTTCGGTGCTTGAGCAGGATTCTATGGCAGTTTACTAAAGTTGTGGTCGTTTACGGGCTTCCAGGTTTCATGACTAGCCGAACACGGGGCGAAATGCCTTCATTGGGATTATAAGCAGAAGCCCTATCAATCCTACCATATCTACTTCTAGCTACAATGTTCATCCGGTGATGGAGATGGCTGAGCCCTACGAGGCTTAGCCTCATCTCCTAACCCCCACAAGCTTCCAGGTCCTTCCAACAGGCTCAAAAACCCTCAGGGAAGCTCCCATAATATAGAGGACCCGTAGCAGCCTGGTACAACTATCATGTAGCCCTCAAGCCAACATCACCGAATTCCGAAGTCTGATAAGCATGTCGCAGCAGATATCTGGCGCCCATGCTCAATCGGAAGCTGCTTCGGCTAAAGCGGAAGCACACCTGCTCCTTTATGGCGTGACGTCACTAGCCAATCCTTCGGCAGTCAGAGCAAGCCCTGCCCCATCACCCAGAAAACCGCCGGACGAAATAAGAAGTCAGGGCATTTCGTCCCCTCAACCCCTTGGCTCTTCAATCCAAGCTTTGAGCCCCGGAAGCACTTGAATCCTAAGTTAAGCACATGTTACACCCGAAGCTTTCAAGCAAAAAGGCTTCTGAGGCCTCCAGAGATTGCTGCCAGCCACGTTTCCCGGTAGCCTGAGGTTCGGGCCTACTCACAGCATAGGGAGGTTCGGAAAGGTTTCCACACTGAAGGGAGCCAAGCCTAAATCCAAGAACTCAGACTTCGATCTTCGCCCACTCAAACGGAAGACGAAGGGTCCAGCAAGCATCTGATTATCTAACTGTGCTTCTTGAGCCTGAGGTTAGGGCGCGCCTGTGGGGCTGATACAAACCATCGCTCTGTCGCTGTGAGTGCCCGGAGCTCGACGTCCCCGAGGCGATTCCCTAAACGACTACATTAAAATCTACAGACCACGCTCCCGAGCCCCGAAAGCCTCTACACTTTGTTGTAAGCGGAGAGACTCTCTGTAGAGCTGAAACAACAACCCGCAAACCCAGCCCCAGCCTCCGCAAACAACAACTGAAAGCGCCGCAAACCCTCGAACCCGGAGGCATAAACTCTAAATCCCTCAAACCCTTAACCCAAACACCTGGTTGTACAGTGGTTTGAAACGGAACCTCTTCAGCATACTTCTGGTAACCCTTAAAGTATGCCCCCTAAATCCAACAAAATTCCTGCGGCCCCCGGCCGTCTGGGAGCTTCCTCTCCAGCGGAAGGTTGGCGCAAAGCTTTAGCAAGGCCACCATGGCGGCCTTGGCGGCCAGCGATTTTTGCTTCGGAGCTCTGTTGGATTTGCCCGGCGCATAGCCGGTATGCAGCCATGCATGTAGCATTAGAGACTCAACGACTCAACGCAACCGATTGAAGTTACAGTCGTACTGAACCAATGCCATGTAAGACATCATCACTCAAATATCAGTATCACCCAGTTTTGCCTGCTATTCGCAAAGAAGAGGCGCAGTGCATGATAGTCAGAGTCTACATTTAGTCAGAGTCTACATTTATGCCACCCCTGTATTGTCAGGAGTTTCTCAGTAAGCGCAGCACTAACCTGGCTTCAGTTCCGAATCAATTTCCTAAGAATTTAGGCTTTCTGCTTTAGCGGTTGGGGTGTTTTGAAGGGTCTAAACAGGCTTCTTCTAAAGGCTCCTGTAAGGAGGGTTCCTCGAAGGCCTTTTTCGGCTTTGGGCCTTACCCTCAACCCCAAAGCCCGAAAGCCGCGACGGCGATTGAGGGTTTGTTTGAAGCTTTCACTATGGCAAGGTGGTTTCCGAGGCCACGGCCTAGTAAGGGCCCCGAAACTCAAAAAAAAGAGAACTCATTCAGGAACATGCCTGAACACGAGATTATGGAACCGCAATAGGATCCACTAATGGTCGACTGTAGGGCCTTAGTTTCGGGGCCGTCATGGTTCCGATGCTCAGGAGTTCTGGGTTTAGGATTCGTATGCTCTAAGCGCTAGTGTTCTGAGAATATTGTGTAGCATTTCAGGCTCCTAGAGCATCTCTCTTCGCTCTGGGAGATCGCTCGAGTGTTATGGGGTTGTTTAAGGCATTTGGCAAGGTGTGTGGGCTGATCGTAACAGGAGGTATAAAAGTGTCTGTAATCCATTCTGAAGGATGTCTTGGCTCGGGTTCTGATACGCATGAATAATTGTCAACCCATCTGTTCAGTAACAAATTTCTTTGTTGACCTCTTTAGAGAAGCAGTGGGGAAGGTCTAGGAGTTTCGGGTCTGCCGCCTCCTCGCGCGAGGCGTAGGGCGTCTCCGCGTCGCGGTTTGGTTCGAACTCAAGGCTCTTCGCCGTATCCTCGCGGGTGTTTGTTTTCTTTGCGTTCTCGGTTTGGGTTAGGGTATATTGGGTCCGGCAGAGTGTGGAATTTAAAGAAAGCCCACGACCCCGAAACGCTAAACTCCTAAACCTCCAGCTCTAAACATCCTCAAACTGGCAAACAGTGATGCTTAGACTCTGGGGTAGAAACAACCGAATATGACGAGGAATCAGAGCCACAGGTGTACCTAAAAGTAAAGGGGCTACAGCCGAACACTCCTAAATGACAAACTCTAAAGCCAAGAACTGAGGCCGAGGAAGCTGCAAACCCCCTATCCGTGCAGCCAGACTTGGTGCTGCCCTGCGCTTACGATAGCGGCCTTAGTAATTAGACTAGGGTTGGAGTATACCGTAGCAAAACCTATATAGCGACGAGGAGTTAATGTGGATAGCAATGACGGTAAAAGTTTATTCAGGCCTCTGTGGAAAACCTGAAAGGTGGTAGTGGTGGATGTCTGCTGTCATCTGCTCTCCTGTTGAAAAGTTGCGCGGTCTCAGCTTCTCACATAGCCATAGAGCCGAAGTAAGCAGCAAAGACCAGGTTAGTTCTACCACTCACTCACTCACTCACTCACTCCGTCCTTGGCATCTGGTAGGATGACCTGTCGGGAATGCAAGCTGAACCTTCGATTCAAACTTCAGTCATTGGTCATTCACCCACTTTCGGGTTCTAGGGTTGAGGTGTCGACTCATTGCGGCAAACCCGAGTGGGCTGTCAAGAAACAATCGGCTGTTGAAGGGCTCATATCGGTGCATAACCGACTTGGCAAAAAAACAAAGCCCTCGAAGCTACTTCAAGTGGGTAGTCGGTAGAAATGGGTACGATTCTTGCGGCTGAGGCGAGGCAACCAGGTGTTTACCTCAACCCTTTTGCATCCAGGCCTATTGCGACTGCCGGGTACCTTGAAGAAAGAGGAAACACACAAGACATTATGCCTTGCATGCGTCAACCCTAAAGCCCAAGACCCTAAGGCTCGAAGACCCTAAACCCTGCAGCTGCGGGTCTAGAGCAGATGACGCGCGATTTTCGCAGGCCCCAACCCAATCAACAGTGTAGGGGCCTTAAAGTTAGAAATGTGTTTTAAGCATATTCTTGTATAGTTAGAAGGGGCCCTCAGGGGAAATATTGGTAATCATTCAGGCTGCCATACTACGTGCCTAAACAATCGAGGTGGCAAGTATCTCGCGACAGCAACAGAACGACAGCTCCAAATCACGGTTCCCTGTACAATGTGCTTCTTCTGAATCCTGGCATCAGATACTGCGACGAGCGCACCAGAAGGAATCCCTAACAACTAAGGAGAGTCTTTTTCCAAAAAGAGGCGGCAATGGTTTATGGTTCTGTGAAATTTGGCTGGCAAGTAGTTCAACATACACATGTCCATGAAGCAGGTTCCCTTTGTGGTTGTTCGAATCTCCACATAAGGAAACGTATTCCCATCAGCGCCAAAGAACCTTCTTCTAACAAGCCCACCAAATCCAAAGACCCCTCAGAGATCTCTGAGAGATATCTTGAAGACCCTTCCTAGATCCCTTTTAAAACACCCTTTTTGCTAAACCCCCAAATCCTAAGAAAAGAGAGCTGTGGCCTTCGACCGGCACTTCCCTCGCTCGAAGGGCCGTGCCCAGGAGTACTCCGGCTTGGGTCTCTTCTGTCCCTGGGCCCACCTAGGCGGGGTGGGGGTTTTCGAAATGTTAGGATTTATGGGACCCTAACCCGAGCCTAAACTCCTAACCTTTTTTGCATCCCGGCCTCCATGGGAGAACTAAAAAGCCCGCAACGCTGAAATCCTGAACCAAACATCACCAACATCCTCATATCTCTCTTTGCCAGTTTGCGCAAAGCCGGAACTTCCAGATTGATTGATTTTGAAAAGCGACGGAAGCGCCGTGGTACTGTGTGGAGCCTTTGAGATAATTGCACCGGTGATGTTGGAAAATGAGAAGGTCTAAGGTCTTACATAGCAGTGAAACGATAGTACTAACCACAAGTGGCTGCAGCGTTGGCAGATCATCTATGCCCCTCTTTGTCGTCCAAGCCGCTCCTGCAGCAGCTGGGTGGGCATTCGCTGGTAAGACTTGACCACCTCGTGACATTTCGAAGAAGATCAAAAGACCACCCGTATATGACCCGCACAGATACACTAGGAGGCAACCCCGGGATCATGTTTGATTTCACACGTGTCTTCTAAAGGTTCTCGTTCATAAATACATACTAGGGAGGGCGGTCTCTCGGACGAGTTCTATTCTAGGGGTCTTAATCACGAACAAACTTTTAACGGAATACAAGAATATGTGGACCATTACACTGTTCCTGCGGTAATAGCTTTCATTGCCTACACTCTACAACCCCCTATCCTTCGAAGCACCGAGCCCTAAGCCACTCGTGCAAGACCAGCGGCAGTACCATCCTTCTTCTGTTCTGCAGGCTTGTCCTCTCCAGGTGCGTAATGCTTCTGAGGCCGAAAAACCGATGTACTCAAGACAGAACCCTAAACCCTAAACCCTAGTGATGTCACCCCTTATGGGCGCCTTCATCATGAGAAGGGGGCCTTGGGAACCACTGTAAAGGGATATTAGTAGCAAGTTTTCGGCCCATATGGGAGCTTCCGAAAATAGTGAGCCCCAATAGAGTACCCTAAATAGTAGGATCCTTATTTTAAGGACCCCAACGTAAGGTACCCCTTCGGAAACTCCCATACAGAAAACATCGTAAAAGCCTAGCACCATCATCTTCTTGGTTTCGGGGCTCAGTTTGCTAAGGGTCAGCATTTTTTCTATACCCTCCTTAGAACCATAATAAACATAATATGTTTGATATTCTCTTGGGTTTTATATGAACATAAAACATAACTCCTAAGGAGTCTATAGTTTTGGTCAGAATAGTCTTCCGCCTTTGTAGTGCCCACATATTTCCATACTTTCACGTACACCCAAGGCCAGGCTCCCCTACCGTATGTTGGAACATGTTAGAGCCCGGGTAGATGTCATGGGTTTAGGGTTCAGGGTTTAGGGTTTAGGGTTTCGGGAAGGGAGGGCAGGGTAGTGTAACATCTCGTTTTCTCGGACTCCTGAACCCATGTTGCACCTTTCTCTGTCTATCTGTCTATCTGTTTCTGTCTCCACTCGTCAAGCGTGACTAGCGCCTTCACGTCCTTGCATTATTTTGCTACGTAACCCACCCTACACAGACCACAAAAACCCAGCAGTGCCGGAAACTCACGGGTCCACTTCTCAGAGTACAACGGGGTAAATCGGGCACCACCGCGTCCTTGTATTCCGTTCCGGCACCTCCCCTCTTGCCCATTGCATTCCCGAGCAATACCCTCCAAAAGGGTGCGCCACAGGGGAGGGATAAGGATCTACCGTTGAGGACTTAATCAGGCCGCTAAGTAAGCTGGCACAAAAAGGATAATGGGCCTTGTACCCCCATTGGATAAGATTGGGTGGATCGGTTGCTGGGTTTTGGAGATGGCTGAGTGTGTCTGCAGACAAAAACGGTTTTGGGTGAAGTAGGCTTTGTGTCAAGGCCGCAGCCGGGACCGGCTTTAGCGCTTTGCCATGCAGATTTCCTAAGGTCTTCGGACTTCAGCGTCAACTTCGGTGTATGTCAAGTTGCCGACGTTAAAACCTGGCTCGCGCACGCAGCTTGAGCAGAAAGACAAAGTCGGATGAAGAGGCAAATTCCGATCAGGTGCTAGAAAGCCCGGGCAGGACGAAGTTCAAAAGAAGATGCTGTGCCAACCTACCTTTGAAGCTTACGGGTTTGCTGTTTTGTCCAAAGAGCCCCATCAACTCCGCAGACCTTCAATCCCATGTATGAATCTCAACAGAAACCCTAGGCTTTGTGATTGAGTTCTGCGTGACATGCAAACGCCACTTTGCCAGGTAACTGTAGCTTTGGCTGTCTTTGTAAACCTGATGCTCCTGTATCTTTCGACGGCGAGAATTCGAGAGCAAGGCATAGATTGGGGTTTTTAACTCTGTAAAGCTGCTGCAAGGAAGTACCGTGATCATTCACCCTAGGGTAGTCCCTTCCTGCGACACCGCTGATTTTTTCAGAAGGTCGTTCGATCGCTGTAGTTGGAGACCTTCTGCTGAACCTACGACAGACGGTGCAAGCTGGAAGCTTTGCATTGCTCCCACTCTACGTCTCTAAATCCGAAACTGCTTCGAGACTGGAAGGGCAATTCAGTTCGAGTAGGATCATGCCTCAGAGCTCCGTCGTCCCCAGCTGACTCCCCGCAACCCCGGAACGTGTGACATGTCAAAAAGTTATCAACCCGACGAACCCAACATGCTACAGGTGACCGGGAGCATAACGTACACACTGATTCGTAAACCTATGCCCGGCCTACCTACCGTCCAGTTGATTTTACCTTAGGATTGGGATTGAAGTCCACAGTACCCACTTCGTAAGAAATATGTCTTCGATCCTACTACTCCCCCACTATTCATTGCGAATGAGGAGAATACATGGCCATGCACCGACACGCTGTATCACTCAGGAGCTCCCACGAAGAAGATCTGACATTTGTCAGCTAGTCCGCGGCCTGTGGCCGAGGCCCTATGAATTAGGAAACCTGTTTGGGAGTTTGAGGCCGTTGAAAGGAGGACTAACTTGGGGGCTCCACATACAGGTCGCGTTTCAGGGAGCCACATCGTGGCTCGAAGAAGCTTTGTGGATCTTCAACGGACTAAGCTCTCGTCAGAGTACATGTATTGGCGATACGATAATATGTACTGTAGGATTCATGTTGAGGATAAATGCCGCCAGTACGCAGTAATGTCCCATTGAAGCACAGTACCGATTTTTGGTCACTGTCGTCAGCCGCCTTGCATTTGGGGCACCTGAACCCCCCAGCCCTGAGCACTCTTTTCGCACCAGAGATTTGGAGAGCCCGCCAACAACCCGAGACCCCTTTATCACACACCCCGAACCCCTCAAACGAGAATTACCCGCAATGTCGCGGATGTCTGTCTAGGGGATTCCTCAACGGAGACATGTTTTGGATTTCTACTTGCTGGCCCAAGCAAGCAACACGACCCTACACCCCTATAGAAGCCATGAAACCCTCAAGACCTAAAGCGGTAAACGAACATCGAAATCCAAAGCCATGAAGCCTCTGAAGCTGGTAGTGCCCGTAAAGCTTTATTTAAGCTGCTGCCCATAGCAAAAACTGAAAAGAATCCTATGAACACCACGTGCAAAGCCATGACCAACCTTCGCCAAGCCGAAGCAACCAACAATGGAAGGATCAACAACTACCCATAAAAGCCCGTTTGACAAACCGCCCAAAACACTCAGCACAACCCGCTCAACTAGACAAAACTTTCACAAAACCCTAGGACACGCACACACCTGCACACACACACACACACACACACACACACACAAGACCAAATCCTTGAACCCGCAGCCCCTTAAATTAATGCCCTTGCACACGGGCTTGATTTGAGCATGCCGTTAACGCCCTAAAACCCGTGCAACCTGCTTTCCAGCCATGGGCTTGAATTGTGCCAGCGAACACCGCTAAACAGCAGGGCCTTGTCGCCTCTCACGAGCCTAAAATCTAAACTCTTAAAGGAACTCCCCAAACCCCTAAAACAGGGGCCTTTATTTTTGAAATAGGGTTAGGCCCTTACATATTATCCCCTGAACCCCCACCCCTAACTCCTGAAGCCTAAACCCTAAAGCCCTGGGCCTCGGGATCGACTTAGAATCAAACCCCTTTTTTTGAGCAGGAACTGCAAAGAAGCAACCCGTACTTGGAGGTTGATGGGGAGTTATAAATGGTGTTGTAAGTGAGGTAACTTTTGTTTTAGCCCATATTAGGGGACGTCTAACCCCACTTATAAGTACCCATGAACCTCCAAGTAATCCCTGAAACCTAAACCCTTCAAACCCCCAAAAGCCCCGGGCCTCCGGATCGATGAGATCCGGGAAACTCGGCTCCTCGGCATCGAGCCTCGGCTAACGGAGTTGAGTCGGGCTTCTTAGGGCCTGAGGTTAAAGGGTTTGGGGTGTCTGGGGGTTTCGGGTTTAGGGCCAGTTTATGGCTTTGACGCTCACACTCGCACGCAGCAGTTTATGGTTTAGGGCTTCCGAATTGAAGGGTTCGGGAGGTTTTGAGGGCTTCGTGTATACAAGAATTGGGGCTTTAGGGCTTTTGTGTTGCTTCCCCACCCCCTTCGCTGACCAAGTCGCGCTGAAGGGATTAGGTTTCAGGGTTTCTAGGGTTTCTAGAATTCGGAGCATGTTGATTCGTTGTTAAGCGTGTATTTGCGGGCTTCCCAGGGTCTCATAAGGTAGTTCATCTTATCGTTGATAGATTTGTGTAGGGTCGTATAAAGGCATAATCGCTTCCCCCTAACACTCAACCCCCCTAATATAAAAACTACCGGCCCAAAGAATTTCGCGGTTTCGGGCCCCACATTCAATTTAAAAGGGACAACATTAGGGGGGGTGGCAGATCTGTTTGTGTTTTAATTGAACGAAGACTACAGTAATACAAAAGACACCAGAGCTTTAGGGTTTCGACTCGCACACTCGCACAATCGCAGCAGAGCTTTAGGGTTTAAGGGTTTAGGGCTCAGGGCTAAGGCTTTAGAGCTCAGGGCTTTAGGGCTTAAAGTTTAAGGCTCAGGGCTTTAGGGTGTTGGGCTCGAGGTTTAAGGCTTAGGGCTTTAGTAGGGCCTCAGGGCTCCAGGCTTAGGATAGCTAGCAGCTGGGAGTCCGGGTACGTGGGTGCACCGAAACCCCCCCTAATAGAAAAACTAAACCCTCCAAATCCAGTTTTTATATTAGGGAGAGGGGGGGGTCCTTTAATATTAGGGGGAAGGGATTAATGTGTTGAACGTCTCTTTTCTGGCAAATTCGCTACTCCACTAAGTCCGTAGACCCAGGGGCTCTGGTTTTTATGACAAAGCGCAATGGGTCTTGGAGTACATGTTAGGAGATAGGTGCATACCAATATATACTAGTGTTCCTATATAAAAATTCAAGCTTCCGTGTTCTCGCGCCCGAAGAGGGCACCAGTGCAATCCCCCTCGGCACATACCCAAATATGATTCAAACACCCTCTGGAAGCTTATTGCACAAAACTGAGATGGATTCCTAATCGGCACCCACATATTGAAGTACAAACATGGTATTGTACATGGACCTGGTTTTTCTGCTTCCATGGCCGGGAGGCAGAGTGAATGTCGGACTTGAGTTACGTCGCAGGCCTTAATAGATCGAATCGGCCCCTGCCACTTGGAGCATGGATGAGTGTATATGGCAGTTTCCGAAAATAGGGGACCTTAACAAAATACCCTGAAGTGTAGGATCCACATATCATAAGGACCCCCAAATCAGGTGTCCCTAATTTTCGGAAACCCTTATATAGGGAACTCTAAAGAATTGTACTGTTGGTATCTATTCAGGCCCGCCATGTCATGTGGGCTCAACTGCCAAGAAGCAAAGATTGGGCTGCTGCGAAGCACGCCTCGGGAAGCAACGACGGCTTGTTTTGCGCAGGTTGAGGGCTTTTGTTTTGTTGCATGGAGGTTGTCGGGCCTCTCTGGTGCAGGGCTTCTACATCTGTGCAATAAACCACAGGCTGTAGGGCCAGGGTTTGAGGGCTGAGGGTTTTATAAGTTTAAGAAGTTAAACATCAGCTGCGAGAGTTCCTACATCGAGCCTCAGCCTGAATATATGACAAAGCTCGCGCAGAGCATGGCCCTCCATGTTTGGCTTCTTTGACACCAGGCGGATAGAAGACATGCAGACACCGACCAACCAGCAGCCAGACCACTGTGTGGGGCAACCCCTGTAGAACCCAGAACACCCAACTACCGACAAGAGCCCCTTCGAGAACATACGAACCCCGGAGAAAAGCCCGAAGATACCCATTATAAACCCTTTCCAAAAGTTTAGGAGCCTTGCATGCCGAAGCCGCAAACAACTCAAGTCCCGTGAGAACCCATATAGATTCCGTTTAAAACCACCATAGAATCCCTTTGGAACCCTCTGTACACGCCAAGTCTGGATGCTTGAGAAACCGCATAATAGAAGCCCTGTCCCTAAACGAGACTCTCCCTTAGTAGAGTTTTTCTGGTATATCTGTTGAGAACCATTCACGGAACCGCAAAAAACGTCCTTGTGGCTGCTAGAATACCTTGATCAGAAACCTTGTATAGAACCCTTTTAGAGCCCTTTTATAAAACCCTTAACCCTTCGTTAAGCACGGACTTTGAATGTATGCCGGTAGCCATGCCCTAAACCCTAAACCGTTTTAGAACCCTACAAGGGGGGCTCTTTTGGCTGCCTCCTGGTGCAGCTGGTCCTGGCGCTCCTCTTCCAGCTCCGGCTCCGTGGGTGCGGCGGGCACGATCTGGGCCATAGTATAGTATAGTTTAGCATGAAAATAGTATAGCATAGTATAGCTTAGTTTAGCATTAATTAGTATAGTATAGTATAGTTTAGCATTGAATTAAATTAGTATAGTACAGTACAGTGGCAGGGTTTCAAGGCGTGGGGTTTTCCCTCCTACTTAGCAAGGGTTTACGGTTAAGGGTTGAGCGGTTTAAGGGGTTTGCAGGGTTTATAAGGTTTACAGAGCTTAAGTTGACTTCTCGTAGGGCTTGACGGGTTCAGAGGGATGAAAGCGTGTATACGTTTGATTGTCACGTTCGTGTTGCTCCCGCCTGCCAGGACGAACCCACAATGCAGTTTGCATTGGCATTCAGAACAGTGGAAGTATAATCACTCAGCTGCATCGTCTTTACGCGACTCGACATTCCTTTCTTACGGGTTTGGGGTTCACGGCCTAGGGCCTTAAACCTCTCAACCCAGCTTAAGTTAAGCTTGAAGCTGAAGCCGAGATTCTGACTCCTAAGCCCTAAATCCTGAGCGGACAAAGCTCGAGGTCTAAACTTTGAATCTCAGGGACAGGCTCTGCGGAGCGGCAGGGGCAGCATAAGGCATAAGGGTTGGATAGCGCTCTATAAGGGTCTTACCGGGATTTGATAGGGGTTACAGGGTTTGCCTGAGGATTGAAAGATGGGTTCACGTAGGACCCCGTGGCCCAACCATCCTCTTAGATACACCGCGGATGCGTCCGAAACTCCTTGTTCGGCGAACCTGTGAGACCTGAACAAATACTCCGACGGACAGAAGCATCTGTTTCATGGCTGGCTCTTTTTTGCACCAGAAAGCAGCAATAACCACCGTCAAGATCAGCCACGTCAACACCACCCAACCCTAAGCCCTGAGCCCTGAGGCATTAGCCGCAAGCCCTAAGCTAAAAGCCCTAATCAGTGTGCCCGTAGACGCCCTGCCCAGAAACCATCACCCGAGTGGCTGATCCAAAATGCAGATCCCTTAAGGGCATTAAGGGGTGTTCTTATACAGCACCCTTAAGAGTTGAAAGCAGATGTAGGATGTAAAGCTCTACTTTTGAGTAAGGTACACTATTTGGGTTTGCAATTGCCAAGTAGGGGTTCTACTTTCAAGGTCCTCCCCTCGGTCTGAACCCTGAAACACCCGTTTTCCACAAACTTGCCGAGTTCACGCCTGGAAGCTAAAGACCCTAATACCTGAACCCTTATCCTCAACCCTTAAGTAAGGGTTGAGGATAAGGGTTCAGTTGTTAAGCATCCTAACCCCTACTCCCCCGAATGGAAGATAGCCCAGGCACCGGAGGTACGTAGGTTCCGTTGGACGGATGCCTTGTCTTGAATCAGGGGTTTCGACTCGCACACTCGCTCTCGCAGGCACGGCTTCATGGTCTTGTATAGGGGTTTAGTGTTCAGAGTCTTGGGTATGGCTTTGAAGAAAACTTCGGGCCATCGCAATCGGCAGAAGATTTTTGGCTTTGGTGCATATTATACCAGAAATCTTTTCAATAACATAATGAGAATCATTGGCACATATCCCGGCCCGTACTGTGTGAGGTTGAGCGCAGACGCTTCATGAGCCAAAGATCCTTTACACTCAGAGATAATCTAGCGGTCTGGATAACTGGCATTGGTACTCGGATCCCCGTTTTAGCCCCTATGCAAGGAGACAGTGTACCCAAAACGGCCGGCTCTTATCGTGGGAAAATACGACAAACCCTTTTCTGATCATCAAGGCCACAAAAGCACCCGAAACCCTCTTGCCTCTGGCCTGCAACGACTCTGCCAGGAAGCCAGCCACTGTTGGTGAGCCAAACGGGAATACATCGACTCTGATACAACCCTGAACCCAAAAACCTACACCCCCAAAACCATAACACAGGGGCCTTCATAATTAGAATAGGGCTCTGGCCGATTATACTATACCTAAAACAAAAGGAACCCCCGAATTAGAAAAGGGAACTATTTAAGCCCCAAGCCGTACACCCCAAAGCCCGAGCGAGCCCAAAAAAGCCACAAAAGATGAAGCCGAGGATGCTCATCCTCGTCGGCTTCGACGACCTCCTCCTCGTAGACCTCCTCTCTTGGTGTCGGGGTTTTGGGGTTTAGGGTTTAGGCTTATGTAATGTAGGAACCTGATTCAGGAACCCTGGGCCTTTTATACCAAGACAGTGTGCAGGACTCATATAAGGAACCCTTATCATAACAGGGACCCTAGGGGGGGTAGGGGGCCTTAATACCCACAATAAGGACTTAATAAGGCCTATTTAAGGCTCCCCCTACCCCCTGACTGAAGCATAGCAAGGTAGGGATATCCCTGCAATATGCTTCTGGCCTGTTTCGGTCCAGAGTTTCCGCGAGGCGCCGCACAGCGTCTCTAAGAGAATTGGGGGTTTAAAACACTAGGATATCCCACAAAACATACCTCCGAACATCCCCAAGCCATTTTCGAATTGTGAAAAAAACGTACACTCAACCCTTATAGTAACCCTTGCTGCTATCTATTTGGCCCCTGTTGCAAATGGGTACAGAGCCCCCGAGTTCATTGTTCAAATGACCGCCAGCCAAGATACAGGAATTAAATAACTGGGGTTAAGGGTTTGTCGCTGCAGGCACTACAAATCCACAAACACTGCTCCGGAGCAACGCATAATGGATTTCATCAGGCCAGCTATGATCTGAATCAAAGGGCGACCAGGCATCGAGAACAACAGGGTTATGGTAAACAAAACGGAGAAGCAAGGCTCGACCAGCCATCATGGAGCTACACATGCCTTCTGCGCGCTGAGGTCAGGTTAGGCTCGACTTTGCTCGCCGTATCCCGCCCCAGTGGTGTCGGATTGTTTGGCTCGCTCGGCAACCCAGGCGTCGTACATGATCTCGTGGCTTGGCCCAAAGACTGAATCCACCACGTAGTCCTCCAACTCAAGATCCTTAAACCTTCTTTCTGATTCTAGAACCCTTCTACTGCCTAACCCTAGCCGGTATACTTAGGATCCTTACTATAAACGCCCAAAATAAGGTACCCCTAATTTTCGGAACCTCCCATGCCCTGACAGTAACCCTGTCCTGCACTGCGGCAGCACCCAAGGACTCAAGATCGTAGGATGTATTCCCTGGCGAAGCGACATCTTCCAGCCTCACCAAGATGCCTTGAAACTGCGGGTAGTGAGAGAGTCCTGAGTGATGAGAGTTATGTAGGAACCTGATTAAGAAACCCTGGTGCCCTATAACACCAAATATTCGGATTCATAGAAGGAACCCAAATAAAGACCCAAGGTTTCTTAATAGGGTTCCTACATTAGCGTTCCCATCAAAATTAAAAGGGCTCCATGGGGCTTAGACTAGAAGGGCGCTGTAATATAGGGGTTTAGGCAACACAGGGGCCTTCATAAAGAGGAGAGGGCTCAGCTATAAAGGAAGTTGCCAAATCAAAAGACCAGTTGCTCCGACCCCCCCATATTACATCAAATGCCGTTATACCCTAAACAGTAGGATCCTTCATGTAAGGACCCCAAAGTAAGGGACCCCTAGTGTTCGGAAACTCCCATATCGGTCTGGGAATCGGCTCCGGAGTTCCGTTAAAGCGTTGGCAAAGGACTGCTGACACGCTGGGGTGCCCTTGCCCTTGCCGATGCCTTTGCCGAAGCTCCAGCGGCGATCTGGATCCCCACAGACTTCGTGGACCTCGCGGACACTCTCGTACCACTTTGCCAAGTGCTCCGCCGCTTCGTTACAAGCTTCGAGCAAGTCGCGCGAAATGGGCCGGAGAGGGGAGACGAAGGGCATCGCAGGCCATGCCGGGAGTCCCTGCACGTCTTCTGGATTAAACAATTCCTTCTCCCCCGTCTCGGCCATCCACTCCCGCAGGAAGCTAGCCCATGTCCAGCCGCCGGGAATCCAACGGCCGGCAATCCGCCTTGGTCCGATGATGGGCTTCGGCTTCGGCGCCTGGGCTTCTTCTGGCGTTCTCCCCCAGTCCGAAGACGCCCGCCGCGCCATGGCCGCCGCAAATCCGGGTTCCAAACGTCGGAGTTCCTCCCAAGACTTTGCTCGCAAACTGGCCGAAGTCTCCAGGCTTCGGAACTGGATCGGTCTGCAGGAAGTGTACACAAAGACGGTGGTGGCCAGTAGCTCGCCGTTTTGCAGTAGGAGCACTGCAGCCAGCCAGCAAACGCCATCTCTTATCATGAAGGCTGAAGCCTGCAGAGCGAGGACAGCGGCCACGTCGGAGTGTGGAATCCCTACGAGGGATTCCCATGGAAACCATAGGGGATTCCTGGGCTCCGTTTAATTATTGGAGGGTTTAATTTCAGTTACTATACTAAGGAAACCATATTAACTACTATAGATCCCTGCTATGGTAACTTGAATTAACTTCCTTATCCCTAAAGGGTCCATGTACCAAATAATAGTATATACTTGCGCCCTCAAATCACATTGGGCCCAACGTATATACTATTTGGGTAGATTGACCCTTCGGGTAACAAGAACCCAGATTCGACAGCATCTCGGCCGTGAACTTCCGGTGCCTCAAGACCTGGGAGTTTCCAAAAATACCCTAATAGGATCCCTATTGTAAAGACCCCAAACTAAGGTACCCCCTAAATTTCGGAAACTCTAAACCCCTTATAGAGCCCTTTAAAGGAACCCTTATAGTACCCTCATAGTAACCCACTCAAGGTACCCTAAAGCTACCCCTAAGTTTCGGAAACTCTAAACCCCTTATAGAGCCCTTTCAAGGAACCCTTATAGTACCCTCATAGTAAGCCTCTAAAGGTACTCTAAAGCTACCCCTAAGTTTCGGAAACTCTAAACCCCCTATACAGCCCTTTAAAGGAACCCTTATAGTACCCTCATAGTAACCCTTTAACGGTACCCTAAAGGTACCCCCTAAGTTTCGGAAACTCCCATAATATGAGGAGCCCTTTAAAGGAACCCTTCTAGTAACCCTTTCAAGGAGCCTTAAAGGTACCCCCTAAGTTTCGGAAACTCCCACCTCGGGAGCTTCGCCTTCTTCTCCGGACCGGTAGGCTTCTTTGCCCGCAGCCTCCATGGCCTGGGTTCTTCTTAAGGGGTTTAGGGTTTAGGGTTAAGGGTTTAGGGTTTAGGGTTTTGGGAGGGGTTTAACTTGTCTATATAAGGTAGCATAGTAAGGAAGCCAAACTAGTTGCTATAGATCCCTACTATGGTAACTTAGGCCTTCATCGCCTGGGCTCTTCTTAAGGGGTTGAGTTTGGGTGGTTGTCAGAATTTTATGCTCCCTTTTTGGGTACCTTAAATAGTAGGTGCCGTATTATAATAGGGACCCAAAAGGGGACCATAATGTTGACAACCACCCATTTGTTTAAGGTACCATAGTAAGGAAGCCAAACTATTTGCTATAGATCCGTACTATGGTAACTTAGGCTAAATTCCTACTATGCTAACTTAGGTTGAATTCCTGGACAAGAGCCCAGTAGCATCCCACTGCTGCCAAGTCGAGGCATCGAAGAGCAGACCGTGCGGCGGCAGCTCCATCGCCACGATGGGGAAAATCTCCAAGGGCCGCATAGCGAGCCCAAGTGCTTGCCTGTCTCCAGTGAAAGCCTGTATGGGAGTTTCCTAATTTTGGGATCCTTGTAATAGGATCCTACTATTTAGGGTACTATATTAGGGACCCCCTCTTTTCGCAAACTCCTGTATGTTGGCAGGCTCCGGCAGCCGCGTCATCGAAGCATCCGCGTCGCCTGTGACCACTGAGTCCAGCTGGACATCGTGAGTAATCCTAGTTCATTGTTGGGATAGGATTAAAAGTGTACATGTTTATTCCTTATTGGGTTTAAGTACCCATAAAAAATGTAAAATGTTACCCTTACCCAACTACGACAAAGAATCAGCGTGGTGCCCACGGCCAGCTGCTGTGTGCACACCAGGTAGTCCCAGCCGGTTGCTTCCTCGATCGCTTCTTTCAGTTCCCGACCTGTCCAGCCGGGCTCTGTCTTAATCCGACAGAGATGTTTGTCCAGTGCATAAACATCGAGCCATGGCATTTTTGGGTCAGGTACCAAGCAACGGAAGCAGGGGAGAACTGAGCATGGGGAGCCAAAAAGTTGCAGGCCCATGGGTTTGTGCATGTTGGGTTGAAGATGGTGGAAGGATCTTAGTCGGGCATCAGCAGGCAGCAGTAGCATAGCTTCTTGAGCAAACGGCGAAGCCCACTAAAAGCTGAGGTACCTTGCTTCATTCAGCCGTCCCTTGGGCTCTCCGGGTAGGGATGTTCCGCAACTTAGAGTGACGAGCCCTTGCAAGAAGGGGTAGAGTCAGCGTAAAACCACTACTACACCCCAAAACCCTAAGCAGCCCGACCCCCCTCCCCAAAACAAAAGAGCTCAAAACCCCAAGCCCTGAGGCCCTATGATTCTGCAGCTAAACCCTCTCTCTCTCTCTCTCTCTCTCTCTCTCTCTCTCTCTCTCCCAGGCAAACCCTAAACCCCAAAACCCTAAACCGTCAAGAAGTCCTCGCATTCCTCCTGCTCGGCCGAGGCCTCTGCGATTCCCATACCTCAAGTGATGTCCAGCGAAGCAAAGCTTCGGTTCTGTTCATATAGGGGCCTGAATACTTAGAATAAGGGTTTGGGGGGCCATTATACTATAAGTATAATACGGAACCCCCAAAATAGTATCGTCAAAATAGTATTGGTATTTGTTTAGGCCCGTATATTAAGTGCTTTGGACTTTCGCTCTCGCTGCGTCCGGCCCGGACAGGCTTGCACGTTGGCAAAAACACGACGGCCACACAGAAACCCTGTCATCCCTCACCAAGAGTTTTCCTCCAAACCCTACAGAGAAACTTTGGTTACCTGCGAAGCAAACCTGAAATCAAAGAAGCTCTAATGTTTAGGTGATTCCTCACAAACCACCCAACATGCCTTCGACGCCGATGCCGGAGACCCGGCGCGAGTGGGTTTCGAAAAGGCCTGGCACCACCCGGTTCGATTCCTATACTTCCTCAAGTCTATCTTCTGTACCCCCTGCTGCCTGAATCCATTAGCTTCAGATGTTTGTCTCGTCGAAGCTTTCAGAAGGTCAAAGGGGTGAGGAGCGTGCGGATTTTGGGTGCTAGCTAGCGCTGGCGTGTTACATCGACAGGGCTCAGGGCTTTCTCTCAGGGTTTCTAGCAGACGAAGAGGGAGCACCCTCATCTCGGACTAGCCACACGGAGTTCGGAAGGGGGGCTTTGGGGTAAGACCCATATTGAAACGCTCGAGACCAGCTCCAACTGCCTTTGACGCCGCTGTAGATAGCGCCGGCCTCGGTCAAATCAGAAGGCACCCTACATTCTAAAGAGATCAGAGATTCAGAGCCAAGCCGCCTGATTGGCCTTATATACAATCAAGCACCCATATCCCCTAGATGGGACCTTTAAAATCAGGACTTAGGCGTCGGCACCAGTGAAAATGCCGCCAACAGCACCTCCCAGGACGTCACCGAACGTGACATCCTGTGCATGGGTTTGTCCCAAGGCTGCTTCAAGTTGGTTGACCAAAATTCAACTACCTAGACCCCCAAAGTAGGTAAAATAATGGCCCGAAACCTATAAAAGGCTATTATTCTACATACTGTTGGGGTCCAGGTACAGTCTTGAATCTGAATCAGTTTTACTGAGGCTGTCAGTGTATGGGTCGTTGGAGGGTTCCTCTGTTAAACACAAAGGACCTTCGATGAAAGGGGGGGGGGGTCCTAAACGCAAATGGAACCTCTCTTTCGGCTGATTTGGGGATGGTGTGTTTAACCCACACCGGTGCTCAGCTAGACCAAAAGCTTCGGTTTGCGAGGCGATCCAGCTGGATGGCCCGAGCCCCCTCATACCCTAAGGCTGATCTTAGTGATACTGCGATTGCCTTTCAACTTTTTTGAAGCAACGGACTTCTTAGTGCGATAGCCTTGGGCAAGAGATTGATAGAGCAAATCTAGCAGTGAGCTGCGAAGCGACCTCGATCGAGGTCGACGCAGTCGATGCCTTCCGAAACTACGGTCTATACCCACAGGGCCGCAAGCGCCCCTTCCAAACCCTCAAATTCAAGGCTTGCTGATCCCAGCCGGGAGAGATTGCTCAACGAAGATCTGAATCCGGAACACTTTAAGCTTACCCACATTAATCAAAAATCCTTTTGTGGGGCTTGGGCCTATAGGGGCCTACGCGCTGGGATTACTTGGAAATATAGGGGCCATAACAATTAGAACAGGGTTTTCGGGTATATCCACTATGACGACCCCAAAGTAGTATACATAGTTATTAAGGCCTCAATAGTAGGTTTCTTGAGAGCTTTTGGGCTTCTCAAGGGTTCTCAGAGGCCTAAGCCTTCGACGCATCAAGGTCGAGGGTTTGGGAGTTTGGGTTTCAGAGGTGGAGGGTGTTGGGGATTTGAACCATGAACTGCGCTGTCCTTGGCAACGTTCACGGAGCCATCGGGGAGCTTAGTGTCCTCCAAACAACAGAGCGACCAGGATCACGACAAACCAATATTCCCTTCACGCCTTTGAAATACAAGTTACAAGTACTCAGGTATACTTCAACCCTATAGCCGCCTAAACCCCTCCAGCACACCTTTAGAACCCGTATGAAAAGCCAATGTTTCCTCACAAAATGGCCGAAACAAAAAAAAACTTCGCAACAAGGAAGCCCGCACCTCTGGGATCCCGAAACCCCTCCTCTGGTGGCTCGTAGTTTCCGAAGCCTACGATGCGCTGTGACAGCAGCCTGTACCTGGGTTGCTTGGAGAGGCCGTGGTTCTATAGGCATCTTAATAAATGGAATAGAGATTGGGGGCCCATTATACTATACTTTTAGTAAGGATTCACCAAAATAGTATTGGCAATTATTTAGGCCCCTATAGTAGGGTTTTTCCCTCTCTCACATGGCAGGAGCATTGTCCACGGGCGAGGCGTGATTCAGGAAATCGGAGGTCTTGCAAAAGGCTGCTTGTCTGGTAGGGTTGCAATATATGGGCCTCCATGACTAGCACCAGGTTTCGGGGCATGTTGTGCTGCAATTACTGAGGAACCCAAAGGTCAGGTATAGTAGTACTAACCATTCCCTAGGGATCAACGTAGCCCAAAACCCTTATGTAGTATGGTCTTTGGGCCCAAAAGCCTTAATATGTGAGTCCTTCGATTTTTAGGGATTTAGGCTTAGATTTTAAGTGTTGGATTTCCATGGTTCAGGAACACATGCTGGTGTTGATATTTGTAACCAGCCGGTCCAGTCGGAGACCCCACAGCAGGAGGGTAAAAGGAACCCAAGCACAAAGGATATGTAGGGGCTCTGATAATTAGAAAGGGGTTTGGTGCCCATTGCACTATAGTTATAATCAGGAACTACCCAACATAGTATTGGTAATTACCTAGGCCCCTTCTAGTAGTCTCCGACAAGCGGGTCAGCTACCGTATGGCTAAGACTGCTGCGCCCTTGTTGCCATCAGGGCTTAAAATTACAGCGTGAAGGTTTAGGGCGTGAGGCCCGGGGCGTTTAGGAGTTTTATGGCTTTAAGCTACAGGGCCCCTGAACCCAAAAACCCTAAACCCCAAGAAAAGTACACAGTAGGGTTAGGGTTTCAAGGTTCTTTTGACACTCAGGCTTGGGCAATACCAGGGGCAAGGTCTAACAGACCACACTAGCCACGGTTTAGGGCTTTTTACGGTTTAGGGGTTTAGGGGTCTAAGGGTTAGGCAGCTGCCGAAACCCTGAAAGGTACTTCAAATTTTTGGGCCACCAAACAAACAGGAGCCCTACGAAGCTACGGATCGATGTTGCTACTTGTTTTCTCCTGCTATACCCAACCCCAAGGCTGGCCAAGCGGCTCCTCGTGGTAAAACTCGTTGCCGGCGAGAGCCTTGCATAAGGGCAGCTTTGTAGGTTTAAGGTTTTAGGTTCAATTAGGGCTTGATGGTTTAGTAAATTTAGAGTTTAGGTTTCGGGCTTAAGGTCAAGTTAACGCTAAAGCATGAAACCTAAATAGGTTCAGGTTGAAGGCTCGTTGCCCCTATGGGAATTCCGGAAGCAATGCCCTGAGCTTGTCTGCATATCTTAGAAGCTGCCCCCACCCTGTCATAGTGGCTATAAGGATTACATTAGGGCCCTATTATATTCCTATTATACCACAACTACAAGGTGGGGGCCCCTTCTTATGTATATCCTTGCTTCGTAGACTCCTAGACCCTCAGACGCGAACCCTTGTAGATCTCCCAGGCCGAAGAAGACTCGGCCCGTAAACTTGTAGATTTCAGGCGCGGGCGTGCTCCTGAACGGTTTAGGGTTTAGGGTTTAGGGTTTAGGGTTTAGGGCTCACAAACACAAGGAACCACAAACCCATGACAAACCCATAGCCCTGCTGTACAGGACCTGAACCCGGATTCAGCAAGTGCTTTCGATGATGGTTAGGCCGGGATTACTCACACTGTACCTTAAGGGCATCAGGCCACTGACGCTCCAACTTGCTGGCTTCTACTGTACCTATAACAACAATTATAAAGCTGCTTCGAACTAAACCCTAAACCCTTAAACCCTAAACCCTATAAAACCACCCTAAACCCTAAACCCTATAAAAACCCTGATCGGAAGGAAGTCGCTGGACCTCCAAGGCTCCATCAGCGGCTTCCCTTACGAGGCGGTAGGGCTCGTCGCCGAACCTGAAGGGATGTCGGGTGTTGGGGTTCAGGGCTTTTCAAGTTCCAGGTTTATGATTTTGAGGGTTTGGGGCCTACTTCTTTCAGGGTCAAGGGACTTCGTAAGTAGGTCTTTGGTAGGGTAACTCCCCCTGGAGGGTACTTATATCCCTGCCTACTTATAGCCCATTTACTAAGCCCCCTGGGCCTCCCTAAACCCCAAAGACCTAAACCCCTAGGGATTCAGGAACCTCGATGTTGATTCTTGTGGGAGGGGCTTCGGGTTTAGGGGCGAAGGCTCTCATCCTAAACCCCCTTCCTCCCTGAACCCTTTTCTGGGTTCTTGTTAAGGAATTCAATGTAAGTTACCATAATAGGAATCTATAGCAAAAATCGGTTTCCTTGTTATGGGAACCGTAACTAAATTTTAACAAGAATCCATGTTTATAGCGGATTTGCCTCTTCCCCGAACCGTAGACCTCGCAGACCCTGCCTACATCCTTCCCAATTCACAAAATCTCAGTCGGCAACCTAGATTGTGACTATTGCGCAAGCAGTACACATCACAAAACCTTCTCGAGAACTAGAAACTCAACTTTCAATGTCCACTTCGAGTTAAGAGCCTTGATCACGAATCAAAAATTGAAAACTCTGCTGAAGCCAAACCCAGCAAACCCTTTGAAGGTAAATCTCCGAGGAGCATTGGGGAGGGAGGCCCCGTGAAGACGGCAGCGTCTTGCACGCACCTCAGGTGTTCCTGAGGGATCTCGATGGCCCCGGCATACTTGGAGGTTCATCGGGTAGTCATAAATGGAGTTCTAAGTCCCCATATATGGGCTATAACTAGTTATAACTATATATAGTTACGCTACTTACAATCCCACTTATAACTACCCATGAACCTGTGGGGGGTGCTGGTAGGGAAGAGGATTGCGCACTTAGGGTCGGGCTCAGGCCCCCCGGATTCTCGGGCTTGGGATTAATTAGGCATCTAACCTCTGCAACCGCACCTTGGGCTTGTCCTGCGCCGAAAAAACGGGTTCTACTGCTAGCATTGACAAAGGCAGCCCATACGCTCGGCATTCCAACATGAAACCGGTGAAGGGGCTATGTAAGCACCATCACCCACGTAAACCAAAAACCTGCTACTTTCACTGTGCAGCTCTGAACCCAGGCCCAAACCCACCAAATCCGCAAGCCTTACACCCACGACCTAAGGCCCTCAACCCTGCAGCCCTAGCAGCGGTCCTGCATGACCTGCTGAAAAGGAGGGATGCGGTAGGCCAGCGTCTTGATGACGAAGAGCGCCTGTCGGAGGTAGCTGCTCCGTGTTGCATTTCGGTTCTTGGGGGTTTCGGGCAACCTAAACCCGAAGCCTTGGGGTAGTTTTCAGGCTTAACACAGCTCAGGGCTTTGGGCTGTGGCGCAGGGGATTAGGACGGGTGATGTCATAGAACCACTGCAGTCCGGTAGCCTACAAGAATCTACTTTATAGTAGGGTTCTGATAAATTCCGTAGTAGGGTTTGTAATAAGAACCCACAAAAGATCAGGTTTTGGTAGTTGAAGCTAGTTCGAGAACCCGAACCCTGATAGGGCTCTTTGAAGGGAAACTAGTAGTACCCTTATAGTAGCCCTCTAAAGGAACCCTAAGGTACCCCCCCCCACCTTCAGCTTCACGTGGGCGTGGTCACCCTCAACGCAGTCTGCGAGGTAGTCGGCCACGGCGGGAAGGTCCGAGGGCTTCGCCTGCGACACCTTGGGTGAGGATTTATCAGCTTGGTGTTGCTTCTTTGTTTATTCATTGGCACGGTTTAGGGTTTAGGGGGTGATAGAGTTTTAGGGTTTAGGGTTTGTTCTCGGGTTTGGGGGGGTAGTTTCGGGATAGAGCCCTCACTAGCTTGACCTCCTTTCGGAAGCCAATATTTACTAGGCTGTCCCTCTCAAGCCTCTGAGGATGTTCAGGAAAAAAGTTCTCTTAAGCCCAATAGGGTAAAACGTAACATGATGCATAACATGTCCCAAAGCCCTACCTACCCTGTTTATAGTCAGCACCCCAAACGGAGAACGCGTTTCAGCACAGCGCCCGCATGGCATTCACAAAGGTGGCCTCAAGTTTTGAAACCGCAGCCACTCAGAACCACCTCATAACTACGTGCATCACCTTGAACAAAATACTTGAACCCAGCACAATGCTGCAAACCCTATGCAAACCTTTCAAAGCCCGACACAACCTGAAAGCTTGAAACCGGAACAAAATCGCACTGATCCCTGAGGGCTCCGGCACGGTATTGTCCCGTATGCGAAAGCCGGCCGTAAACCTAAACCAGACTCTCCGAAAGTTCGAAACCCAGCGAGACAGGGATGGGTTTGAGTGCCAAGAGCAGCCCAGCAACATTCTGCACAATGTCGTTGAACAGGTAGCCTGTACCGATTTCGAGGCCCCGATCGAAAACTGGCATTAAACATGTGACAGACAGAAAAGCCCACAAACACTGCCAAACCGCCCAGCTAGTCCATAAAATCTTGCAACCAATTTTGCTGAATTGGGCCATGGCAGCCCGGTGTGGGAGCATTGTCCCTGTTCGTCGCTCTGTAGAGGTCGTTCCACTCTATTGCAGCCTCAGGCGCATTTTAGCGCAGGGGTTTAGATTTAAGTGGATTTCGGCGCTCACACTTGGATAATCCAGGCAAGGCATATGGTTCGTGTGGATTTAGGGTTTGGAGACCGTGCGCACCACTGACAAATTGAGCCTTCTCAGGCTCGAGCCTGAACTAAGGAATCAGGCTCGCGAGGGCCCTGATTACCGGAACTCTCTCCGAGACAGCCTTGACTCCATTGGCCCCCTAATGCACTTCAGGCCTCAAGCCCCCCTCCCCTTCAAAAAATCCCCGCCCTTCAAAAAGAAGGAAGAACGCCCAAAATTTTACCCCCTTAAACCCCAAGAAACGATCCACACATTCGACTAAGACTACACTTCCCGAAGGAGACAGCTCAGGCGGAAACCATGCACGCGAGCCTCGGGCAGAGGGTTTAGGAGTTGAGGGTTTGGGTTTAGGGTCTGCGGATTGCGGGGTTAACACAGGGGCGTCAATGACTTTTGTAATGGCACCGAGGCGCAGTATCGTCTGTTTATTGAAGTGACTATACGAGCATGGCGGCATACGCCAGTCAGACCTGTAAAGTTTCAGAGAGGTGGATTAGGGTTTTGGTTTCTGGTGCTTTCGAGTCTAACCTTAAGATGACATCGCCGTTGGTTTTTCTAAATTCTGAATCTTTGAGCGTAGGAGTACTGATGAGTACTGCCTAGCTACTAGAGGGATTCGTTATACCGTGTTTAAAGTACACCTTAACCCCAAGCAACCTAATTTTTTAAGGACTCATATCAAGAAATTGAAATCATATTAGGGAACCCCAAAATGGTAGGTTCCTTAGGGTCCAGGCAGTCCTTAATGAAGGGGCCTTACAGTCTGCCGGTGGCTTCTTGCAACCCCTTGCCTTTCCTCGATGACACATCTGATGGGCAGAGAGCTAGTGCCATGGCGTAGGTAAATCTATTCGGGGGAGCTGGGGCGAGCTTTTTGTAGTCCTTTGCTGTCCCCAAAAGGAACAGATAGGAAAGCCTTTGTCGAAACCCTCAAGAACCTTCTTACCAGTCGGAGCCTGAAGGCCCCACAGAACGATGTTCCCTTAAACCCCTTTTTTGCTACTGGACTCAAGTCTAGCCAGATCTCGACCTGCAATAAAACCCCTGAAGCCCGAACACAAATGGCTGACTAGCACGAAAAGCCACAAGCCCCATGCCCTGCCTTTGGTTGGTAGGAAATGGAGGAATGGGGTATAATTATAACTACTATTACTGCCATTCTTCCATTCCCTACTAACCAAGGGTAAGCTGCAAAGAGGTCTGGGACCCCGACTGTGGTGATGAAACATGGGCACCATCCCGCCCGGGCGCGTGACTTTTGAAGGTCTCTTTTGGACTTTCAGGAGGCTCGGGGCTCCAGGGCTGTCGGGCTCCGGGGTTTTAGGGTTGAGGGCTTTAGGGTTACGGGGCTTCGCGGTTCAAGGGCTTTAAGGCTTTAGGGTTGGAGGGTTGGGCTTTCAAGTGATAGGGTTTGAAGCAGTGAGCTGCTTGGTGACTTCAACCACAGTGCTTCAAAAGGGCTCGTAAGCATGAAGCCCATGCAGCGACAGCGGGGCGCTCGTTTGCACGCTGCTGCTGTTCCGCCGCATGCATGTGTCTCCTAAACATATTGCTGCTAATCCCCTTAACCGGGTACGAACCCAATAAGAATAATGCGTCCTGGGGAAAACACGAAGATAGTCTTAAGGATAACTCGGACACGAATCGGTAACTCAAAACACTCCTCGAACATCGAGCTCAGCGGCCAGGGCAGAATATTGATTCCGTTATCAGCCTTACTAAGTAGCTCGAGACCTCTTCACCTCTGAATCCACTCCTATCCCAGCTGGACCACCCCTGGCTGGGCATCGTCCCTTTTCTCGCATTTGACCTCTCCGATGAACATGTGAAGTAAGGTTGTTAAATGCTTCGGGGTTTGAGTTCAAAATGCCAAAACAGAACTCGGCATTCAAGCTGATGTCGGGTCCTGCGCCCTAAACCCTCCTGGATTTTTGTTTCAAGCTTTGAGGCTGTGTGTTTCGATCGCATGGCCCAAAAGCTCCCGGGGATGGCGTACAACTGCAGAAACCAAGAACGATACTAGCAGCAATCCTAATCATCACAATGGTATTTTGTAGCAGGTTAAGATGAACAACGATACCATATATAGTACATGAGGTTATGCATGTGTATAGATATATGGATGGATAGACAGATAGATAGGTACATAGATAGATAAATACACGCACACACATATACATATATGTACCTGCGTGTTTGCCAGCATCCAAAGGCTTCGGGTTTGCTACCACGCCGGCTCACTGGAGTTGCAGTCCCACCTGCGACAGTGAGTCATGGGTGCTTCTACTGCGGGTTAGACTTTCGGGCTCAAGTAGGGGTTTCGGGTATAGTTTAGCAAGTTCATAGGGTTTTGGCAACAGAGTTTACAGTCAAGGCATTGCGGGCTAAGGCTGGCAGGAATCCCGGCTCCACTTAGCACTTCGGCTGCTGCTACTCTCCTCTGGTACACCTGGGTGCTGATGTTTGGGCTAAGGCACGCCTGTATGATATGATACACTGTTACACTAGATGCAGTCACCCCCCACAACAATCCAAGGGATCCCCTAAGCAGTAGGATTCTGCCTGCGAAAACCCTTAACCAAGGGACCTCTGGTGTAAATTGTGAAGCCACGGACTCCACCACAGCATGCAACCACCTGCCTCCACGCCACGAAGGCGCAAGAACCTGCGATTTCGGCCGCAGGTTTGCGGGTCTCGAGTTTGAATTATGTAGTGCTACACTGCCCTGGCCTTGCAAAATAGAGCAGGTTTGCAAGCCGTTTAACCATGTGAAGGATCTCGAATGGATATTGAAGATAGTCATCCCGCCACAAGAACATGCCTGCCCCCAAAATGGCTCGGGCATAACCATTCAGCAAACCGCACCCATGTCTCGGTCTGAGCGCTTGGGCCCGATATCTTCATGGAAAATTTGTTTACACTCTCAATTTGAAGGGGGTGGCACAGTGGCTCATTGATGCGGATGACAGCTGCCTGTTGGCATCACCGAAAAATGTACAATACATCTGAAAAACATGTACTACAGAAATTATGCACATTATAGAACATATGATATGTAATATGCTAGGGTCGAGGTTTCGGTTTGACGGTTTGTGGGTCAGCGCGTGTCCCCAGCTCCTCTGCTAACTTTGCCGAGCGCGTCCTTCGTGAAGGCACTGTCTCTGTAGCGGGGGTTGGGCCAAGGCCAGGGGTTTCTTTACGGGTTTATATAGGGGTTTAGGGTATAGGGGCTGCTTGTAAAGCTTTTGAAGAATGTTAGTAGGTAAGATCCTCTGAAGCCCAACAGGAGCAAATATAAAATGTCCCAAAGCCCTACCTAGTTTCCCCCTCCTACTTGGCAAGGACGAGGCCCGCATTGCAGGTAAGGCTTATTACAGTAGCGCTTAGGGTTCAGATAGAGTTTATGGTTTAGGGTACTGGGGGTTCATGGGGAGTTATAAGTGGGGTTATAAGTCGGGTAACTATAGGTATAACGACTTATAAGCCCGCTTATAACTACCCATAAACCTCCAAGTAGGGTTTAGGGTCTTAGAGCAGTCAATGCTGGCCCCCACATCCCAAAACACGCCGCCAGGGAACTGCAGCAACTTCTCCTCGTTGCTGGCCAGGTTTCTCTCGATTCTTCCTTCAGCTTCAAGGTAATGTGCAGGGCTTATGGTTTAAGGTTTAGGGTTTCAGCTTTAGGGTTTATGGTTTAAGTCTTTTCCCTCCTACCTAGCAAGGACAAAGCCCGCATTGCAGCGTAACGTAACTCCGAAGCAATGGCTGAAAGAGCTGCACTCATGACAGCTAACTGTGACTCCATGATCCTGGCTACTTGTTGGCCAAGTTCAGACTTCGGTTTAGGGTTTAGGGTTTCGGCTTTGAGGTCGCAGGTTTCGGACGGCACGACCTTCACGAGGGGAGCTGTAGACCACAAGCAGCAAAAGGATGAACCCTTGCTTCTGGCCCGAACCCCATCCTCAACCAGAAACCCTCAAGTAAAAGCCTGTGCTGAATCACCGTGCACCATCGCACGATTAACGGTAGTGTTGCGACGCAGGCGTGTCATACTTTCAATAATCGCCGGACGCGGACGGATTGGTCCATATTCGTGTCCTTGATAAAAATATATCTGTTACTACAACGCCACGTTACGAAATCACAGAGATACAGGATTGGAGCCCAGCGTCGGACCACGCGAACCTGAGGGAGCTTCGATGTCAGATCGCTCGCGGAAAGGCTTTGAGGTACCGGCTCATCTACCTGAGAAAGTGTTTACCTGCAGCCCAAAATACCTCGTACAGCGAATACATAAGAAAATCAGAATAAAGAACCTCCAAAACATAGGTTGACGTAGGACTTAGGGCGGCATTCAGCCAATCAGGGGTTTTTGATCAGCCTCCCAGTAATAGGACCAAGACTATAGGGGTCCTTGTAAGTCATAGCATCGCTGCCCGGGCAAGCAAGGTGACCATGATTATGTACAACTTTGGGATTGTATGCATCGCTACTTCGAAAGAAGATGAACTGTGGAACTCCACGAGTGCTGCCGGCGTAAAAGCAAGTAAAGCCGTGCACTCGAGCAAAAAAACGCCGAGTCCCGAAACAGGCACCCCGACAAGCACAGCAAATGTTACGTACTACCAGGAACGGCCACAACCTCTGTACAAGCAGTTTCAATCATAACAACAACAGCGAAGCCTCGCTAACACCACACCCACACGCTCGCATGCAGAAGCATGCGCAAGCACCAAAACAGATGTACATTTGGGAGTTTCCGAATATAGGGGACCCTAATATAAGACCCCCTAGCTTACTATAAGGACCCCCCCCAATAAGGGACCCCTAATCTTCGAAAACCCTTAACCCTAAACCCTTTATAGAACCCTTGTAGATCTCTTTAAGGAACCCTTAAAGGCTCCCTTTGGAGGTACCCCTAATCTTCGGAAACCCTTAACCCTAAACCCTTTATAGAGCCCTTGTAGATCTCTTTAAGGAACCCTTAAAGGATCCCTTTAGAGGTACCCCTAATCTTCGGAAGCTCCCAGGCCAACCCCCGGCCTTGATGCCCTCCCTCAGGCGGCTGCGGGCCGTCTTCGGCACCAGCACCGCGGGCACCGCTGGGGGTGGCCGGTGCCGCTCCTCTAGGGCTCCGATAAAATGGTTGCGGTTTAGGGTTTAGGTTTTAGGTTGAGGGTTATGCTCAAAAAAAGGTTCAGGGTTATGGTTGCAGAGGGCTGGAGCAAGTAGGTCATCAGTCGAGGTACAAGTGGAGATACAAGCATCCTAGTGGGTGTTGTCTGAGTTGCGTCCCTATCTTGCACCTGGTCACTTACAAGGTCCCCTAATCCTTAGGAGTAGGAGGGCTCCATGTGGAATTATACACAGGGCTTATGCGTGCATACTGAATATTCTAGGGTGTTTATGGGGTTTTATCGAGCTTTTGAGCTTGTGGTCGATATGGGAGTTTCCGAAAATAGGGGACCCTAATATAGCACCCTAAAAATTGGACCCTTATGATAAGGACCCCAAAATAAGGTACCCCAAATTTTGGGAAAGTCCCATATGGTTTAAGGGTGGATACTTTGGCTGCAGGGTTTGTTTTATGAGGCAGAAGGATTAGTTTGAGAGTCTGACGGTTTAGAGTTCCCGGAACCCTTCTACCTGATCACGTCTTAACCCCTGAACCCTCAAACGCAAAATCCCCCGTCTAAAGCCTCGAGGGTCATCTCGAAATCATCCTCCCATTCATCCTCGGTGGTTGGAGGTTCGGGAGACTTGAACTTTGGGAGTTTCCGAAAATAGGGGACTCTAATATAGTACCCCAAATAGTAGGATCCTTATAAGGACCCCCCAACATAAGGTACCCCTAAGTTTCGAAAGCTCCCCTTTCGACACTCGCACAGGAACGCATCCGGGCATATGGGTTCAATTTTGGGTGTTGAAGTTTCGTGTTCTTGTAGAGCTCCGTTTTCCTCCTGCCTAGGTCCTGGGTAGACCCGTAAGGGTTTAGGTGATGGGGGCTGTCGATTTTGGGGTTTAAGGCAGTTACCTTCTGGGGTGCGGTTTAGGGCTTATTTGGGGGCAGGGGGATTGCATTCGAAGAAGGATATCTGATATCTGTTTGTGTTCGGTGTCTGTGTTTGCTGGGGGGTCTTTGGGCTTGTGAGTTTCCAGGGGGCTCAGTGTTGCTATCGCTTCAGGGCTCAGGGCTTGTTTGAGGGCTCAGGGCATTTCAGCCCAAGCCGAAGCCTTAAAAACTTTTGAAAATTTGAACCCAAACTCCCGAAACCCCAAAGCCTAAAACTGCATCCCTAGGCCGAAAAGACGTAAGCCCAGTCAAAGAAGGACCATAGCAGCATCCTTGCAGCAGAAAGCCCGAAAAAGAAAGGAATCCACAGTCTTAAGGAAGCCTTATACGAACAACCCAGACTACCTCATAAAGCCTCATGACACTGGATCGCAACCGCCAGACCTTCAGCCCGTAAAAGCCCTGAACAACCCCAAACCGTTGTGCACAGACTTGAAAATGCCCGCTTTTTGTTGCACGTGTGAATCCGCCCTGAAAATGCCCGCCTAAACCCAAAACCCTTCTTGGAGCGAGATCTCTCTGAAAACCCTAAACCCTCTCGGATCCCAAGACAACAAGCGGCCTCATTGTCGACGATGACCAAACCGACAGCTCCGGCATCTTCTGCCCGACGTGCCATGGTCCTGAAAGAGCTGCTTCCAAAAGGTTAGGGTTTCGGCGCTCACACTCGGACTATCCAGGCGAGGCATGTGGTTCGGAGTCTGAAAAGTGAAACTACACTAACGGGAGAGGCACGACGACAGGAATCAACAACAAGATTATCCAACACATGAAGTGACTGTGCTCCGCGTTGACTTCATCATCCCTCCCAAGGTCGTACAGACATGCAACAAGTACAAGGTTTTAGTAAGACCTTGGGAGGGTTTAGGGGTAAGAGGCCGGGGTGTTTGGGGGTTTGGGGTTTAGGGGTTCAGGGTTTAGGGGTTGTGGCTTAGGGTTGACTGTTTTTAAATCAAGGTCGGATTGTATAACCCCCAAAAAGATTGAAGGTTGCCCAGCCCGTAGGCAGAAAAGGCTGCAACATGGGGCCTGATTCCAATAGTATGCTGGGTACTATATTATGAGAACATAAATACAATTAGAAACCCTAAGGAGACATATTGACAGTTTTATAGTTTTATTGCAAGTTATCAACATTACTCGTCAGGGTTCCTAAGTTGCATTTATATTCGTATCTACGCTGCCGCATTCAGCAGAAAAGGCTGTCTTATGCTGCAAAGGCTCTCGAATTCTACCTCTCCTCGCACGGCGACCACGACTTTGCCTCTCGCGTCAGGTCCTCAGTTGTAATGTAGGATAGAATAGCGTTTGGGGAGGCATTATGATCGTATGGTGATGATAATGTAGATTAGAGTCGGGTTTTGGGAGGTATTGCTATGGTATAATGATAAGGAATCCTGGACCCTGAGGCACAATACTTCTAATGACTCAGGATTCCATATTACTAAGGATTTAGGCATGCCTTTGTCTCGTAAACGGCGTGGCCTTCCACGAGCCGGTCAGAAGCTACATGATTTCAGAGCTTCGTTTAGGGTTTGGACTGACGCTCTTGGACAGCTGCGGCGTTGGTTTCGTGCTTTTTCCCTTGTCGGACTTAGGGCGACCATCGTTTCAATTAAACTGTAACTACCATGATTGGCTGTTCGGTAACCCACTGGAAAATCACTTACTTCTTTGGGTTAGCTGTATGATAAGAGAAACACCGCAACCAACAGGTAAACAAAGCAACCACCGAACATCCCAGGCCATAACCCCAGGGATCAACACAGCCCAAAAGCCTTATATAGTATGGTCCTTGGGCCCAAAGGCCCTAACATATGAGTCCTTAGATCCCTAGGGTAAGATAATTAGATACCTAGGCATCCGAAAACTTGCGAACTAACAGGAGAGGTCGCCCCAGGCATTCAGGCCGAACTCGTTCTTCCTCAGTCAAAGACCAGGGTCTTGGGCTGTTCCGAATTCTCTGCTTCAAGCTTGAAGGTGGAATTTGGGTTGACGTCTCTTTAAAGATTAGAATTGTGAAATGAAGAATGGTTTGTGACCTGAAGTGCAAACCTGAGCTTGAAAGGCGAGGGGAGTCCGCCGCAACTATGCAGGGTCATTGTTTGTTGTTTTCAGTTTTAAGGCTTTAGGGTTGCTTCAGTTGTCGGTGTGGCTCCATGGTTTGCCTGCCGGCACTCTTCCGTGACAGATCTTGCAGGTCAAAAATGGAAGGTGCATGATGTAGGAACCTTGGGCCTTTCTTAGGTGTCCTTCTATGAACCCTGGAATTATAGGCCCAGGGTCTCTTAATCAGGTTCCTACATTAGAGCTTGCTGTGTGATCCCTGTACCCCAAAACCCAATTAGGGGAAGCGCTGTCTCGAAGGCCGCCAGGCTTCTGGCTGTAGTGAGCGGGAGCCTCGCAAAGCACGCCAACTTCCTGAGCGAAGCACAAGAGACTCTGAGGAGCTGTTAGGCAAAGAATGGTAGCGGGTTTAGGGTATACTATGTCTAGAGTTGTATGCTAGGCGTTCAGAATTTCCTGTCGGGGACTTGGTGATTGATGCAAGTTTGTCCTGAGACCCTCTAGATTAACAGGCGTGTAGACTGTTTGCAGGGCGCTTTGCAACATCTTGCCGGCTACGTATGCAGCCAGATCTTGAGAAATGAAGGGCCAGGCCAGGCACGATTTTCTGTTAAGTGTTCTATCAAGTATCGAAGGTATCGGACCCGGTCACGTGGATTCAAAGCATTCTGGCTTCAGGGTTTAGGCTCTATTTTGGGTTAAGTTTTTCGGTTCCGGGCTTCAGGGCTGTCAGGGTTCAGGGTTTGGGGCTTTTTTTGACACTCACACTCGGACAAAGCCTGGCAAGGTCTGCAGCGTTTGGGGCTTCAGGGTTTGGCTGGGTTTAGGACTAGGAACCGCCAGTGCGGCTTGTCTGTGAACTCTTTTCCGTTCTTGCAACACGCCCTTGCTCAGGCAAAACTACAGGAACCGGGACAGACGATGATTACAGTTAGTCCCAGAAAGTTGGAACATGGGTTTAGGATGAAAAGTGCCGGGATCCCCTATACTTTGCCTTAAGGGCATGAGAATAAAGATGTTCCAACCTTCTGGCTTCTACTGTATACTTTGCGCCCAGCTTCCGACTTGTACCGCATCCTCAGAAGCCTCTCCGACCAGTCTGCTGCAACGCAGCCCAGCGGCTCCTCATAGACGTGAGTTAAGATACTATAGGGGCCCCAATACTTCCCACTACTATTTTGTGGGTTCATTAATATAATTACAGCATATAATGGGCCCCGAAACCCTATTCCAATTATCAAGGCCACTATATTACCGGGTTTCTTATGCTCTCCCAACTCGGACACTGCCAGACGAGGTCTCTCCGGCCGGTATGTGACTACAAGAAGTCTCTATGATCGGTGCGAATGGCGTTTATTTAAGTTACCACAATAAGGAAGCCATGGTATGTACGTACCAGAAATCCCTATTTTGATAACTTGTTCTGATTTTGTTTTCTCGATGTTTCGGCATTGGGTTCCGTTCTAAGGGGTATTAACTATAAGCAGCGATATCTTTCGGTGCAGGGCCTAGTGGCTCTTGGGCTTCGGAGTTTGAGGGTTTGGGGTTGGGGCTTGGGGAAGGCATGGGTTTCAATGGCTTGAAGGGTTCTATGCGCAGTGTGATGGTTTAGATGCTTTATCAATATGGATCTACGTCCGGACATGGCTAAGTGGACATGCTGCGATGCTCGATCAGGGTCTGTGACGAGATACCTAGAGCTAATTGGCGCTGACGATCCAAGTATTATGAAGTTGGAGAACCCTGCTCACTGTTATCAGGAGGCTCTCGAATAAGTTTGCAGAAGCTGTACTGCAGTATCCTCAGTATCCGCATGACGGCTAGAGTCGCTTCCCTAGTCATCAAATAGAAACAGCTGCCAGCCAAAAAACGATGCCCAGGCTGCACATTCTTGAGTGTTGCCAAAGCCCTAAACCCTCCAATTTGGGATTTCGGAACGTTGCTACAAAACTATGCACGAGCTGTTAACCGCAAAACAAAACCCCAAACCCAAAGGGACCTTAAGCACACCCCTCCTGGCCATCGACCTCCAAATAGTCAGCGGTATCCACCGCTACCACCGTGGGCGGGCGCTCTTCCGTCGCCTCTTCAAATCCCATGGCGTCCTCGGAGCCTATGATGCACAAGGTGAAAACTGCAAGGATTTCCGAAGGGCGACACTTTGGCGTTCCCTCAAGCTGTAATCCCCAAGTGCTGAAGGGCTGCTATGAAGGGAGCAGCTTCCTGTGAGCCGATGCCTTTGAAGGTTTTCGCTGCCAAGCAGGGCCTAACCCTTACCTTAACCCTCAACCCCAGACCCTAAACCTGCAACCATAGTGTGCAATCACGTATATCGAACAATATCCAACACCACAAGGACTACCGTAGGCCTACACTATGGATGCTGAAACCGCAATCGGCAAGCCAAACAAAGGTACGCCGTCTCCCAATTCCGAAACCCTTAAACCCCCCGCGCCGTTTCCCTAGTTTTGTGCCTTCTCCCTACGAAGGTAGCGTTTTTCGACAATTACCAATAATAGAGTTTCGAAGCTAGTTGAAACTATGTATGCTCAAACAGTTCAAGGTCACCTACTCAGCTAGCAAGTTCTTGACTGCAAGCCAGTGGAAACGTTCAGGGCTGCACCCTATTTTTGCCGGACGGGCTTCACAAGCTGTTGCCACAGGCTATTGCCCTAGTGTGCAAGATGCGGCTAACTGGCTTACGGTGTCGATGCTGATACTTTGGCGGCGTGTAGCCGGTTCCGAGGTGCTGGTGCATCCGCTGGGTTCTTGTTAAAGGGTGTAGCTTAAGTTAGCATAATAAGACAACCATATCATCTACTATGGATCCCTATTATGGTAACTTACAATACGTTCTTGTTAACAAGAACCCATGTCCACCAGCAGCAATGGCAGTGTGTAGGCTACGATTCATTGGGGGCGCCTTTCAACGGACGAGGGCTGTTGGTGGCCACAACCAGTGACGGACCAGAAACGACCCCGAATGACTTGAAGGTTCATGGGCAGCTATAAGCCAAGGTTATAAGTCAAGAAACTATGGTCACGAGTCGCCATGGGCCCAAAACCCTGCTCAGATTCGGCTCATGGCTTTTCTCGGTGAGCGCAATGGCGGGCGTTCTCAGAGCAAACTGTGCTCTCTGGTTTCCATCTCTGGGTGCCCTCAAGCCTTCCATCCTCCGGAACCTGGCACAGCAAGGAAGGGAGGCAACTCGAAACCCCGAAATCACAGGTTTCCAGGTGCCGGTGACCTATAAAGCTGTACTGCATGGGTTTTAACGGCTGCTATCAGAGTCTGATGGGGACACGAAGTAAACAAAACTGAAGTCTGATCTGGCGTCCTCAAATACCAGACAATTCCGCCAACGCCACACACACTTGTCAAGAGCAGTGCCACGACAGTATCGGTCGCAGCTCGAGATAGCACCACCCATGTCATACCGAGAGCAGTCGAAACTCCCAGCCAGTCGAGTGGCAGAAGGCTGTCTTGCTGGAGGTCAGGCAAGCGATAAGAACGACCACCACGGCTGCCAGCCCCTTGCCGACAAGGACTTGATAGATGAGCTTTCAAACCGCCACCAAAAACCCTAAACCCCAAATCCCAAGCCCTAAATGCCATTACTTCCCAGGGTCATCGACTCATCTTGCTCCGGCTTGTGAACGAATCAAGTACGTAAACTCCGAGATGTCATCAACCAGTAGTACAAGGCCCTAGTCAGTAGACTAGGGCTCCTTTACGGGGTTCTCTTGAAGGGAACCATAAGGATTACTGCAAGGGTCCTGTCATATGGGGGCCTGAATGATAAGAGAGAGGGTTTTCAGCGCTCACACGCGGGCACTCCGGGCGAGGCATATGGTTCGAGGTCTGTTGAGGGGCGCAAGATGAACCGAAGTGCAATACAAACTACACAATCTTCAGGCTGCACTTCTCCCACTCTCAAGATCCTTGCTCATCCTGCATCCCTAGTTACGGTTTCCACAGGACTTTGAGGGCTACAGACTGCAGACCACACATGACGGGGAGTGAGGATTAGCTAACAGAAAAAGGATTTGGGGTTATGTTGTACTCTACTTTTGTGCAGGAGCCCCAAACGACGAGTATCACTAAGTACTCAGTCTTGTGTACTAACATTCGCATGAATGCTCCAACGTTCAGGCGAGGGTGCGCCGGATGATCCTCATGAAGGTGCAGCTCGTGTGGGCTTCGCGTAAGTACTGGCAAACCCAGGCCCTGAAAGTCATGAGCGAGCCCGTACAACAACCGGCGAAGGCTGTACAACTTGACCAAGAGTCTCAAGTTAAGAACCATGCGCGCAGTACACCAACCCCCAAGCTCAGGCCAAATCAGCGTCCCAAACCCAAAGCTCAAACGTAACGGCTGTTTCAAGAAACCTGGCTGATCGAAAATTAGAACCATGTTCTGGAGCGCTGTAAAGCATACAGATGTAACGGATATCATTCACACATATTCAGACACCTATATACTCTGAGCATCTCTGAGCCCTAGGCCCTACACTCCATACCCAAAAATTGTGAGCCCTTGCGGGCGAAGGCTCGAAGCAAACTATCCGCCGGAAGACCACCTTAGTGCTGCTTTAGGGTGTGGGGCAATGGCTCCTTTTAAGGTACTAGGTTCCTATGTCCTGCTTTGAACGGTACCTTTCAAGGGTCCTTTCAGGGTTCCCGTAAACGTTTCCTTGAAGGCGGGTTCCCCTCACTTTCAGGGCTCCTTTAAAAGGGGCCCTTTCAGGGTTGCTCCAATCAAGGGGTCCCTTCAGGCTCTGTTCAGAGGCTTGGTCTCAGAAAGGGTTTGGGTCGGGGATGAGAGCATAGATTCCAACTTTAATGTGGTGCATGTGTACACGTACCAAAAAGCCCCTCCTGGATCTAGAACGAAAAACGGTTGATTTCGCGCCTATGCGTATCCTTATGCTGTACAACATTGCAACGTACTGCATAGCAGCATGCGAAACCATCGGGCAACACTAAACACCTAGAAGACAGGCCTCAGACTTGACTCAAAAGGCACGCTCATAGCATGGCACATCGAAGGATGGCGTATATACATCACTCGTTTCAACCATAATACGACATCTGTGTGCAATCCGCACGGTTGTGTTGTCGGATGTCAAGTTGAAGGCCCCCTTCTGCATCGCAGCTGCCCAAGCAGACTCGGCATCACGCTGCCATTGTCGCATCAACGGCGCCTTCGGGTGGACACGTCAGTGTCCAAGTGTTTGGAACAGAAAGCTTACGGTTTCGACTCTTGCAGCTAGGCGAAACAAGGGTTTGGGTTTAGGATTTGGGGCGGCTTCAAGGCTCCAAGTTTAGTGCTGAAAGTAGTCGTCGAAGCCTCGAAGTCATCCACGGGTCTGCAGCTGAAGTTGGCAACCTGAGCTGAAGGTGCCGGCTTTACAGGAGCAGGATGCTCAACGCCTACACAGCTTTGCAAGGCTACCCATCCTTTGCGCACCCTCTCGCTCTTCAACACCGAAAGGTGCATCCTAAACCCTAAACCCTAAACCGTCGCTTAAAGCCTAAGGCCTGCCTTCCCCAACCCGGAATTATTGGTCTCGAAGGATGCAAATATTGAACTTTCGCACCATGCACGAGGACAAGGACAAATCTCAAAGTTGAGAACAGACAATAAAACCCCGCCACCTTGCATGATGACAATACTTTCGCACATGACCTTGATGGGCACGATGCAACTGATAAGACTACTGTACGATGTTGACATGTACTAGGTGTTTATGGTCTTGCAGTATTCTCGTTTTGTATTTCGCTGCTTCGAGTTTCTCCTCACTTGACTCCATAGGCACAACTTGCCAGAATCAAGCAAGAAATGGGAGCTTGGTCAAAGTTATGGTCCCTTTTCGGGAACCTTAAATATTAGTTGCCGTATTATAATACGGACCCAAAAAGAGACCCTAATATTGACAACCACCTACATATCTTCCCCGTCAGCACCACCACCCTCACCGGCACCACCTCCACCACCAAGAGAAATAGCACAAACTCCCCGCCGAGCCACGCAGGCCTCCACACAGGACGTCCCTGTGCAGCCCTGGTGCTCCGACGGATACAGCTCGGGGTGGCTGGCCTGGTACAGTGCAGTGTAGGGGCCGTAATTGTTAGAATAAGGCTTAGAGGTTTCCTTGAAAATAAATATAGCACAATATGCCCCAAGACCCCATTATTCGAACTATTAATAGCCCTTAGATCAGGGTGTCTCCCTAGAGCCTTTACGGTTTAGGGCTTTTCAGTTTAGGGTTAGGACATGACTCGGGGTGGCTTGAGACTTAGAAGGAGAAGGCGGTGTCAGTAAGTAGGTTCTACTTAAGGATATAAGCAGAATAACCCCAATTGGGGTACCTGTTTGTTTACTTGCAGCCACTTCCTAAGTCCTCTTATCCCCTACGCAGGGTTAAGGGTTTGGATATAACTTGGAGCTCGGGTTGGCTGACCTGGAGTAAGAGCAGCAGAAGTACACGTGTTTAAGCATTTTTGGGTCTATGAGAATCGGTTTCGGGTGTCAGTAGAGGTTGCTGGTTCAAGGGGACTCAGAGCAAAGCTAAGGTTGCTTTGGCGGGGTGTCGCACAGATCGGCGTCGTGATTCCGATGGCTCCTGATGAAAAAACAGGAGTCGAGGAGAACTGTAAGAGTATCTCTAAAACAAGCGCATGTAGGGGCGCCCTCTGTGACTTTATCTTTCATGCTTGGGGAAAGCTGCACGATAGGCTATCGTTGCTTCCTTCCATAGCGAAGCCGGGCCGCAGCGAACTGCACCGCCGTAGATCCCAGCGTGTCGGGGGACACGAGGACATCACCGTTGGCCAGGCAGGACCACACGTCCCTGGTTGAGTTTCATGGGTAACGTAGACGCCGTTTTCTCAAAGCCGCCCCGGCCTAATGTTAGCAACATGCCAACATGCCGATCCCTGTCATCGTAATAGGACTAGTTTGGTTCGCTTGAGGAATATCACTGACTGTCCTTTTATGGTGGGTTTCCTCCCGAAAATAGGGACGCCTTATGTAGTACCCTAGATGCCCTAGATAGTAGGATCTTTATTATATGGACTCAAAAATACGGTACCCCTC